AAAGTTATTCCTAGATATTTTATTCTTTTGGTTGCAGTTGTAAATGGAATTGTATTCTTGAGTGCTCTTTCTGTTAGTTCGTTATTAGAATATAGAAATGCAACTGAGTTTTGTAAGTTGATTTTGTACCCTGCAATTTTGCTATAGTTGTTGATTACTTCTAATAGTTTTCTGATGGATTCTTTAGGATTTTCTATATGTAAGATCATGTCATCTGCCAACAGTGAGAGTTTCCATTCTTCATTGCCTATTTGGATTCCTTTCATTTCTTTTTCTTACCGATTGCCCTGGCCAAAACCTCCAGTACCATGTTGAATAAGAGTGGTGAGAGTGGGCATCCTTGTCTTGTTCCTGTTCTCAGAGGGATGGCTTTCAGTTTTTCCTGTTAAGTATGATGTTGGCTGTGGGTTTGTCATATATGGCCTTTATTATGTTGAGGTACTTTCCTTCTATACCTATTTTACTGAGGGTTTTTATCATAAATGGATCTTGTCAAATGCTTTCTCTGCATCTATTGAGATGATCATGTGATTTTTATTCCTCATTTTGTTAATGTGGTGTATCACATTGATTGATTTGTGGATGTTGAACCATCCCTGTGTCCCTGGTATAAATCCCACTTGATCATGGTGTATGATCTTTTTAATGTATTGCTGTATTCGGGTTGCCAATATTTTGTTGAGGATTCTAGCATCTATGTTCATCAGCAATATTGGCTTGTAATTTTCCTTCTTTGCATTGTCCTTGTCTGGCTTTGGGATCAAGGTGATGTTGGCTTCATAAAATGTGTTAGGAAGTGTTCCTTTCTTCAACTTTTCAGAATAGTTTGAGAAGGGTATGTATTAAATCTTCTTTGAATGTTTGGTAGAATTCTCCAGAGAAGCCATCTGGTCCTGGACTTTTATTTTTGGGGAGTTTTTTGATTACTGTTTCAATCTCTTTACTTCTGATTGGTCTATTCTGATTCTCTTTTTCTTCTTGATTCAGTTTTGGGAAGTTGTATGAGTCTAAGAATTTATCCGTTTCTTCTAGATTGTTCAATTTGTTAGCATATTGTTTTTCATGGTATTCTCTTATAATCCTTTGTAGCTCTGTGGTATCCATTGTAATTTCTCCTCTTTTATTTCTAATTTTATTTATTTGAGCCTTCTCTCTTTTTTTCTTAGTGAGTCTGGCAAAGGTTTGTCAATTTTGTTCTATCTTCTCAAAGAACCAGCTCTTTCTTTCATTGATCCTTTCTACAGATTTTTACATTTCAGTTTCATTTATTTCTGCTCTAATTTTTATTATTTCCCTCCTTCTGCTGACCTTGGGCTTTATTTGTTCTTCTTTTTCTAATTGTGTTAGGTGTAGTTTAAGATTGCTCATTTGAGATTTTTCTTGTTTGTTAAGGTGGGCCTGTATTGCTGTGAATTTCCCGCTTAGGACTGCTTTCGCTGCATCCCATATGAGTTGGTATGGTGTACTTTCATTTTCATTTGTCCTGGATATTTTTTGATTTCTCCTTTAATTTCTTCAATGTTCCATTGGTTGTTCAGTAGCATGTTGCTTAGTCTCCACATATTTGTCACTTTCTCAGCTTTTTTCTTGTAGTTGATTTCTAGTTTCATAGCATTATGGTTGGAAAAGATGCTTTATATGATTTCAATCTTCTTGAATTTATTGAGGCTTACTTGATTTCCTAACATATAGTCTATCCTTGAGAATGTTCCATGTGCACTTGAGAAGAATGTATATTCTGCTGTTTTTAGATGGAGTGTTCTATAAATATCTATTATGTTTGTCTGGTCTAGTTATTGGTTTAAATCCACTATTTCCTTGTTGACTTTCTGCCTGGATGATCTGTCCATTGATGTAAGTGGGGCATTAAGATGCCCTATCATTATTATGTTGCTGTTAATATCTCCTTTTAAGTTTGTTAATAGTTGCTTTACGTACTTTGGTGCTCCTGTGTTGGGTGCGTAGATATTTGTAAGTGTTATGTCTTCTTGGTGGAGTGTCCCTTTTATCATTACATACTGCCCCTCTTTGTCTCTCATTGCCTATTTTATCTTGAAATCTTCTTTGTCTGATATAAGTATGGCAATATCTGCTTTATTTTGTTTCCTATCAGCTTGGGGTATCATCTTCCACCCCTTCACTCTGAGCCTGTTTTTGTCTTTAAAGCTGTGATGTGTTTCCTGGAGGCAGCATATTGTTGGGTCTTGTTCTTTAATCCGTCCTGCCACTCTGTGTCTTTTGATTGGAGAATTCAATCCATTTACATTTAGAGTGATTATTTATATATGAGGGCTTAATGCTGCCCTTTTATTACTCATTTTCCAGTTGTTCTGTGTTTCACTTGTTTCTTGTCCCATGTATTTTGGACTGCCAATTCAGTTTGGTAGTTCTCTATGATGGTTTTCTCAGTTTTCTCTTTATTTATCATTTGTGTCTCTGTTCTGATTATTTGTTTAGTGGTTACCATGAGGTTTGTATAAAAAATCTCATAGATGGAGATGGTCCATTTTCTGATAGCCTCTTATTTCCTTATTCTATCCCTTTCTTCTTCCCTAAGTTGTTTTTGTCACAGCTTATTCCATTTTGTAACGTGAGTTTGTGGTTAAAATGAAGTGATTATTGTTATTCTTGATGTTTTCCTTCCCTTTATCTTTAATGTTATAATTAAGTGTTTGCTAACCTGTTCTGATAGAGAGCTGTAATTTTCTTATTTTGTCTGCCTATTTATCTCCTTGCTCAAGGCTTTGTAAACCCTTTCTTTTTTTTTCAGGTATGATGGCCTTCTTGATCATTTCTTGTGTGGAGGGTGTCTTGTGGCAATGAACTCCCTCAGTTTTTGTTTTTCTGGGAAAGTTTTATTTCTCCATCATATCTGAAGGCTGTTTTTGCTGGATAGAGAATTCTTGGCTGAAAGTTTCTTTCAGAATTTGCATATATCATTTCACTCTCTCTTAGCCTTTAAGGTTTCTGCTGAGAAATCCACTGAAAGTCTGATAGGGGTTCCTTTGTAAGTTATTTTCTTCTGCCTTACTACCCTTAATATTTTTCTTTGTTATTGACTTTTGCCAGTTTTACTACTATATGCCTTTGAGAAGGTCTTTTTACACTGATACAATTAGGAGCTCTATTAGCTGCTTTTACTTGTATTTCCAGCTCCTCCCCCAGGTTTGGGAAGTTCCCCGCTATTATTTCTTTGAACATGCTTTCTGCTGCATTCTCTCTCTCTTCTCCCTCTTGAATACCTAAAATCTTTATGTTGCATTTCCTAATTGAGTTGGCTATTTGTCGGAGAATTTCTTCATTTCTTTTTAGTCTTAGTTCTCTCTCTTCATCCATCTGAAGCATTTCTATATTTCTGCCCTCCAGACAGCTGATTCTCTCCTCCATAATATTAGGTCTGTTATTCAAAGAGTCTAGATTTTTCTTTATCTCAACCATTGTGTTTTTCATCTCCAACATTTCTGGTTGGTTTTTCTTTATAATTTCAACCTGTTTTGTGAAGAATTCTCTGTTTACTAATTTTGCTCCTGATTTAATTGAACTATCTATATTTCTTGTAACTCACTGAGGTTTTTTTTTTTTTTTTTTTAAAGATTTTATTGTTTTCCTTTTTCTCCCCAAAGCACCCCGGTACATAGTTGTATAGTCTTCACTGTGGGTCCTTCTGGTTGTGGCATGTGGGACGCTGCCTCAGCGTGGTTTGATGAGCAGTGCCATGTCCGCGCCCAGGATTCGAACCGATGAAACACTGGGCTGCCTGCAGCGGAGTGCACGAACTTAACCACTCGGCCACGGGGCCAGCCCCTTCTTTTTTTTTTTTTTAAAGATTTTATTGCACTGAGGTTTTTTTATGACACATGTTTTGAAGTCTCTGTCATTTATATTATAAATTTCTGTGCCTTCAGGATTGATTTCTGGGTGCTTGTCATTTTCCTTCTGGTCTGGAGTATTAATATATTTCTTCATACTGTTTGATGGCGTGTATTTGTACCTTTGCATAGTGATAGTATCTGGTCACAGATTCCACCTGCTGCCACTAGGGGGCAGGTCAGCAGCTGTATATTCTGAGCCCACTGTGATCCCTGGTGTCTGTACCCATCCTTAGAATCTATTCTGATAGGGCCTGTCTGTGATCGCCAACTAGCTAGCTCACTCACAGCTGCTGCTTTTCTAACGTATGCATGGGTGCTCTGGTGGGGGTCCCTTGCTCTAGCTGACCCGCTGAGCTGGAGTATCAGGCAGGGGGAGGGGCACTTTCTTTGTGTGTGATCCTGGGGGTGTTCCCTCTCTGCCCTCACTCTCTGCTCTCCTGGGGTACTGGCTTGATGAAGACACCCCGCAATAGCTTAGCCATCTCTGTGTGCAGCTTTTCCATGGGCTATGAGTGATTATGTTCCCACAGAGAGCCACCCCTCACCCCTCTTTTCTCAGAGCTGTGCATGGTCGTGCACCCTGGGTTGCTGCTGCTTGGGAGCAAGAGGAGATCCATTTACCTCCTTCCACTGCCTCCCAGGGGCGTCCAGCATCCCTACCTTCAGACGTATGGCTGTGTGGGTCTCTCAGATATCTCTTGTGCTGTGTGAATGTCCTCTATTAGTTTATGAATGTCCTTTTCATTGTATCTTAGGGGGGAGAGTCTAAGGGTAGAGCTCACTCCATCATGATGCTCATGTCACTCTCCCTCAACGTTAATGTTTTTAATTCCTTTTTTGTACTTTCTTTTAATTTATTGTTCTTTTTTAATTTTTAAAAATGAATTCTGTGTTTTATATCTTTGGTTTTTATTCTTTAACATTGAAGACATTTAATGTTATAATTTTTCTTCAGAATGTAACTTTATCTCCTTTATATTTTGAAACAAAGTGTTCTAGAATCTGTAATTCTTATTTTTATTTCTTTTTTGATCCAAAGGTTATTTTGGAGGATATCTTTCTTTCTTTTTAAATTTACATTTGGTAAAATTCAATCTTTTTCATGTGCATTTATATACATTTTGGCAGATGTCATCTAACGACCACCACAATGGAGATACCGAATGTTCCATCAGACACTCCCCTGGCCCCAGGTAATTTCTTTGTGTTGCCATTTGTAGTCAAACCCTCCACTAAGTCTTAACCCCTGGCAATCACTGTTCTGTTCTCCATCCGTATAGTTTTGCCTTTCCAGAATATCATATAATGGAATCATATAGTGTCTAGCCTTTGAGTCTGGTTTCTTTCATTTAACATAATGTGTTGGAGGTTCACCAACATGCGCGTGTATCAATAGTTCCTTTCTTGTTATTGATAACTAGTACTCCAGGGTCTGGATGTACCAGTTTGTTTATCCATTCAGCAGTTGATAGACATTTGGGTTGCTTCCAGGTTTTGGCGATTATTAATAAAGCTGCTAGAAATATTCCCATAGAGGTTTGTGTGTGAACACAGTATTCATTTCACTTAGGTAAACACCCAGAAGTGGGATTGTTGGGTCATATGGTAAGTGTATGTTTAACTTTATAAGAAACTGCCAAGCAGTTTTCTACAGTATCTGTACCATGTTGCATTCCCACCAGCAATATACAAGAGTTCCAGTAGCTCCACATCCTCACTGGCGCCTCATAATAGTAGATCATTATGGTGGAGAATGTTTCCTTAATTTTCAAGTTTTAAAGATTATTTTGGTCATCTTTGTATTATCTCCTTTTATTGTCTATTATCTATCTAATTGAATTGCTGTGATTAAATAATATAGCCAGTAAAATCTCTACTTTTTTAAATTAAGGCTTTCTCTGTCACTGGTCTTTTTCATATATATTTAACTTTTTATTGAGATATATTTTACAAACCATAAAATTCATCATTTTAAAGTATATAATTAATGGTTCAACTTACAATTTTTTGACTTTATGATGGTGCAGAATCAATCCAAAATCAGTAGAAACTGTCCTTGGAATTTTGAATTGGGATCTCCTCCTGGGCCATCGCTCTGTGGTCTGGTCCTCCCCCGTGATGCTGGACAGTGGCAGTGAGCACAACTCCCTGTCAGCCCCGTGATCATGAGGGTGAACAACCGACACACTGACAACCATTCTGTACCCATCCAACCATTCTGTTTGTCGCTTTCAGTACACTATTTAGTAAATCCCATAAGATACGCAACACTTTATTATAAAATACGCTTCATGTTGGATGATTTTCCCCAACCGTAAGCTAATGTAAGTGTTCTGAGTATGTTCACGTTAGACTAGGCTAAGCTGTGATGCTCAGTAGGTGAGGTGTATTAAGTGCATTTTTGACATGATATCTTCAGCTTACAATGGGTTTATCAGGATGTAACCCCATCGTAAGTCAAGAAAGATCTGTATGTTCACTTTGTTGTACATCTACTGCCCCTGTGAAGATTTTTATCACTCCAAAAGGAAACTCCATACCCATTAGTGGTCACTCCACATTCCTCCCCCTCCCCAGCTTAGGGCACCATTTATCTACTTTCCGTCTCTATGGTTATGCCCTTTCTGGACATGTCGCGTAAACTGAATCATACACTGTGTGGTCTTTTGTGACTGTCTTCTCTCACTCAGCTAATGTTTTCAAGGTTCCTCCAGGTTCTATGTAGCATGTGTCAGGATTTCATTCCTTTTTGTGACTGAATATTATTTCATTGTATGGATATACTTCACTTTATTTATCCATTCTTCAGTTGATAGATATTTAGGTTGTTGCCCCTTTTCTTGGTAGTATGAATAATGCTGCTATGAATATTTGTGTACAAGTTTTTCCATGAACATAAGTTTTCAGTTCTCTTGGGTATATACTCAGGAGGGAACTGCTGGATCATACTGTAATTCTATTTTTAAATTCTTGAAGAATTGACAGATTTTCCAGAGCAGCTGCACCATTTTACATTCCCACCAGCAAAGGGTTCCCATTTCTCCACACCTTCACTGATGCTTGTTATTATAGCCATCCTAGCAAGTATGAAGTGGTATCTCATTGTAGTTTTGATTTGCATTTCTCTAATGACTGATGATATTGAGCATCTTTTTCATGCACTTATTGGCCATTCATATATCTTCTTTGGAGAAATGTCTGTTCAAATACTTTGCCCAGTTTTTAATTGGGCTAATAGTCTTTTTATTTTTGAGTTGTAAGAGTTCTTTATATATTCTGGATAGTAGGCCCTTATCAGATATATGATTTATAAATGTTTTTCTCCATTCTGTGGCTTAACTTTTCACTTTCTTGATAGTGTCCTTTGACATACAAAAGTTTTAAAATTTGATGAAATCCAATTTATCTATTTTTTTCTTTGGTTATGGTTACACTTTTGGTGTCCTATCTAAAAAACTATTGCCTAACCCAAGGACATAAAGATTTGTCCCTATGTTTTCTTCTGAGATTTTTATACTCTTAGTTCTTATATTTAGGTCTTTGATCCATTTTGAGTTAACTTTGTAAATGAAGTGAAGTAGGGATCCACATTCATTCTTTTGTATGTGGATATCCAGTTGTCCTAACACCATTTGTTGAGAAGACTATTATTTCTCCATTGAATGATCTTGGCACTCATGTCAAAACAATCGACCATAAAATGGAAGGGTTTATTTCTGGACTCTCAAGTCTATTCTATTGATCTATATGTCTGTCCTTATTCCAGCACCACACTGTCTTAATTACTGTAGGTTTGTAGAACAGCTTAAAATCAGGAAGTATGAGTCACCCAACTTTGTTCTTTTTCAAGATTGTTTTGGTTATTCTGGATCCATATGAATTTAAGGACTGGCTTTTCCACTTCTGAAAAAAAAGAGGCTGTTGAAATTTTGATAGGGATTGTGTTGAGTCTGCAGATTGCTTTGCAGAGTATTGCCATCATAAAAATATTGTCTTCCAATCCATGAACATGAGATGCCTTTCCATTTATTTAGGTATTCTTTTCTTATTTTCACCAATGTAGTTTTCAAAGTACAAATCTTTCACTCCTTGGTTAAATTGTATTATTTTTGATGTTATTGTAAGTGGAATTGTTTTCTTAATTTCATTTTGTAATCGATCTTTTTTAAACCACAGGCATACTCTCACTCCAAAACACACACACACATAGACACACTCTATTTGTCGAATGCAGAGTTCTCTCTCTATAAAACTGCATATCAGGGGGCTGGCCCCGTGGCCGAGTGGTTAAGTTTGCGCACTCCGCTGCAGGCGGCCCAGTGTTTCGTTGGTTCGAATCCTGGGCGCAGACATGGCACTGCTCATCAAGCCATGCTGAGGCGGCGTCCCACATGCCACAACTAGAAGGACCCACAACGAAATATACAACTATGTACCGGGGGGCTTTGGGGAGAAAAAGGAGAAAAATAAAATCTTTAAAAAACAAAAACAAAAACAAAAACAAAAACAAAAAAAACTGCATATCAGGCATCATGGTGGAGTGAGATGTTCCCTTTGTCTCTCTCCTCTAAATTACAACCAGTAGGACGTCCGTTAACCAACAATGGACTCTGTGCACTGCACACCAGAAGGCCTGAGAGCCACATATCTGTAAAACTATCTATTAAACTATATTCACGAATTATCTTGTTCAATTTCTCTGTTTTTACTTGCCTTTTTATCTAATAGATTGGCAATTCTGAGAGAGAGACATTAAAATCTCCTATTATAATTGGCACCATGTTGATAATCTTGTGATAAGCTGGGTGATGAAAACATGGAAGTCATTACACTATTCTTTCCTCTTTTATGTATGTTCATAAATTTCCATAAAAAGAAGTTTATTTCCTAAACCTCCAACTACACTCACATTTTACTACATTCTCTGCATTTCTAATCATTTTTGCTTTATGTGTTCAGCTGCTGTAGCATTCGGTGGATAGAGATTTATACCAGTTACATCTTTTTCATAAAGTCTGCCTTTATTACAAGGTTCCTTTCTATATTGTTTTGTATTTTAACCTTAAACACTATTTTGTCTAAGGTTAATATTGCCACTTCTGTTTTTTCCCCCTTGTATTTACCTGGATCACTTTGCCTTTTTCTTTATTTTCATCCTATATTTACTGGTCTGTTTTGAGTGTGCTTCTTATAAACAACATACAGGTTATGAGTTCTGTCTTTTATAATAACAGGGAATGCAGCCTATTCCCGTTTAGTGTAACAGAGGTGACAGAGCACGTGATTTTAATCCTTTCGTACTACTTTGTTTACCACGTATGTGATATTGTTGTTTCCTCTTTCTATTTCCTTGAGTTTGCCCATGTGATCACATTTTCCTTTCTCATCTCTCCTTTCCTTCTTGTTAATTGGGAGATCTGCAGGCAAGTTACTTTCCAGCTGGAAAGATGAATGCTAATGGGCCACTTGAGGACGTCTGGGTACTAACTCTGTGTCCAGCTCTGGCTCCAAAGACGAGGCCTTGATGGCTTCAAATTTGGCTAGAGAACCACGAGATCGTCATGTTTGTATTCATTCCTGAAATAAAAGTATTAGGGTTGTTTGTGTATATTCTTCCTGAACAGAACTGCAAGTCCTAAAAATAAAGTGCTGTGAAGCATCCTAGAATTAAGCCTCTCAGATCAAGCAGGATTCTAGCTGCACTGAAACGCACATCTTCTCTGGTTCTGCGTGGTTTCTTCAATTTGTTAAGTTTCTGTATCCTTGACCAAGGAAATGGAGAATTTCCAGTGTGGGATTTGGGGCGGGGGGAGGGGTGGAGTGAGGATGGGGCAGTTGCGTCCTTCTGTCATTCCTCAGCTGACCTGAGAGATGCAAAGTCCTACTGTAATTTTCTACTCCACGGGTGGTTATCATCCTACACCTAGTACATATCAACTATTTCTCTACTACTAGATGTAAAAACAAAAACAAAATCATAGTACATTTATCTTTCCGGAAATTTTGTTATTCACATGTAAGGTCTTCTGAATCTAACTTTCTAGTATTGTATCTGTTCCTTCAGTATTTTCATCTGTTTATAATTTTGCTCTACGCTTTGAGATTTCTTTTCGCTGAATCTTCTGTGCCACTAATTCAGATCTCAACCATCCTCTGTTTCAATGCATCAATTGAAATTTAAAATACAAAAGTCATGTTTCTTATTTCCACAAAGTACTTTTATGCAGTAATTGAGTCTCTTTGATTTTACCCTGTAGTACTTTTTTGTTCACGTGGCTGAATGTCTCCGGTGACTCTCGCTTTTCCACAGAGGAGCTACTTTCCTTGCTCACTCATGGCCCTATTTACTCCTGGGGTCCAGACCTACTAAGGGGATACTTTTACACTCTCATGAGTAGCGAAAGATCCACAACTGGCTGTCCTGTGGCCGGTGCTCTGGCAGCTGGCAGGTTGACAGGGGACCAGGAAGCTCTGCTGCCCCTGCTCTCCTCAGCTGCAAGACTAGCCCTCTGCAGTCTCAGGCCTAGGGGACCACTGCCTGGGGGATGGGCAAGTGCACAGATTTTCTCCAGCCCAGCTCTCTCTAGATGCAGAGCTCTGGTCATGGCCCGGGGCTCCCCACTGCTGGTCCCACTCCCATCCTGCCCAGAGGAGCATGGTCCTGGGCCTTTCCCCTTGGGCATGGCAGACGGCCTCCCAGCTTCACCTGCCTGCTGACATCAGCTTCTGCTGCATCTAAAAGGGTGCTGGTGGTTGAAAGGGGTGAGGAAAGAAAGCCTGCCATCATCCCATTGGTGTAATCTAGGTACCAGCAACCAAGACGACGTCCAAGAAGGGACTTATTCTTTGGCTGCAGAGAGAAGAGAGAAATATTTAGAGCAGTATTTATTATTGGTGCCTGTGGAGACTGAGTCTATGGGCAAGCAAACATTATTTACCAAACACTTAAAATAGTATGTCAGGCCTATTGCTAGGTACTTCAGATAAGTTCTCTCACTTAATCCTCACAACAACTGTGTAGTTATTGTTCATTGAGAGATATTGTTATTGAGAGAGAGCTATTAAGGCTCCCGGAATTATTCAACATCTTCAGAATGTCAGAAGTTCACCCTTGAGCAATGGACAGAAGAGCAGCCTTCCTGACAAGCTGGGCTGCACAGCTTTAATCCTGCAGCCTGCACGCACACACACACACACACACACACACCCCAGTTGCCATGACGTGACAAAATGCTGCCACCCTAGTTAGGGGGACAAAACTTCATGCCTCAAAAGAGTAAAAACTCAGCCCAGTATTTGAATGTGTAAGTCACTGAAAAAGATTGCTTCCATTTTCCAGAACTTAAACCAGCAGAGGGAGACAGATCCCCAGCAGAGCACAGTGGAAAACGTTTTCCAATTTCCTGCGTCCTCCCGGTGTCCCTGCCTTCTCCACGGTCTCCTGGGCTGATCTTGCCGCTTCCAGAGCCCTTCCTACTGTCTCCCTCCAACCGAAGCTTAGATTCGTGAGCTGACTCCTTCGGGCACACAGGGTAGCTTGCTGGCTCATCTGGCGGAAGAGAGGAGGCCTTCTGAACGCAAGCCCTCCCGGGAAACCGGTTCGCACGTAACAAGGAACTTGGATGCTGAAACCCAGAGTCTTGAAGAGAGAATTGTAGACACTGAGGCAGAGGAGATGTTTGGAAGGGGCTTTCGGTCTGAGACTTTTCCAGATCCCTCAGCTCACAGCGGCACAGAGGCCTGCACCCTGCTTCCGTTCTGAGAGCGCGTTCCCGCTTCCCATGCAACCTCAGCAACCTCAGCCTGTGTCTGGGAAGAAGCTGCCCTCGGCCTCTTCCTTCCAGAAAACAGCAGGCTGTTTTGTTGTTTGGTTGTCTCTCACACGTCCAGTTCCTCCAGAGCTTCCGGACCCCTTTTCCTTGGCTCCCGAAGGGAGCACCTGGAATGTTCACACTCTACCTGGAGAACCGCGCTGTCTCCTCGGGCATTTCTGCTGCACAGGAGAGAAAAAGCTAGTTCATTTAAGCCAAAAACTTAAGTAGGGACTGGATTCAAAAACAAGCCTTTCTCAAAAAAAAACACCTCCTCCTTTGCCTGTGGTTACTAGAGGCAAGTCATGAGCCTCTTTTGCAGATAGCGCTTGAATTATTGGTCTGGTTCTAACAACTGGCACTTTCCAGCAGGACGTTAGGGAGTGAAGTGTGTGCACCATGATAGAAGACGGTTTGGAAGCCACCCTAGACAAGGAGGGCTGAGCCTGCAGGAAGGAAGTTGTGAAGGGTCACCGCCCAGCACGGGACTGCACTTATTCTCTGCCGCTCCAGAGAGCCAAGCGAGAACCAGCAGCTGGTCTTGGGCATGCGGCATAAGGGAAGATGGTGGGGAAGTGGTCCGTGGAGAAGTGGTGCAGCCAGGGGAAACTAGTGCAGCTGGAGTCTGACTCCAGCAAGGGCTTCTTAGCACCCAAAGCCCGGCCTGAGAGAATGTGGTAAACAGCATGATTCGGGCAGCCACTGGCATCGAGTGATCCAACCCAGTGGGTGGGCAAAGCAGCAAGGGATGCTAGGCAGCATTTCAGAAGTCCTTCCTCAAGGGACCATAACAGCTAACGTAGGGAGTGTGGGGGCAGGACGCAACAGGATGAAGGTATGGCCCCAGTACCTAATCACCACCCAAGTTCTGGACAAGGCCCCAGTCACAGGGGGAAGCTGGGGAACAGCACAGAAACTAAGTGAGCAGATCCTTGGTTAAAGCCAACCCCCACAGACTTGGCTAGTGGAATGGGCTGGGGAGGGAGGGAGGAGAAGCATAAGGAGGGCTCGGGTTCGAGGTCACTTCATGGGGCCCAGGATGCACCAGGCCCATGGTGTGCTGGCCGTGGAGGGGTCTGGCAGTGCATGTGGGCCCGTGAATGAGACGTAGTGTGTGGAGTTGAGGAAGAGACAACAAAGCGGGGCTGATGGAGAGGCTACCTGAGGAGATGCGGGTGATGAAGGATCGGGAAAGCTCGTGCAGAGACCAGTGCCCTGCTGGGAGGGGAGCTTTCAGTGTGAGAGGGTTAACCGCTTGGCCTTTAAGGCCCAAGCCAGCTCTAATGCACTGATCCTACGGGGCCCGTGAGACACAAGGCCTGGGAACCACCCTCTCCAGGTGCTCCCTGTCTATACTCAACTGTCCGTCCTCCTCCTTGTTTGGAATCGAGTGTTTCAAGAACAGGTTCCCTTGGCAATCTAGTTAGAATGTTGTCAGGCCAGCTTGTACTCCACCCCAGCATCTCGCAGTCTCTCCAAACTGGGGTCTCTTGGCCTCCCTTGTGGGTGCAGCCCTGTCGCAGCCTCCAGGCTCCGCTCTGCGGCAGCAGGTGCACAGAACAGCAGAGCTAGTTCGGGCTCGTCTGGTGTCCGCTTCTGATGTGTGAACTTGCTCCTGTTTCTGAGACTTGCGGACTCCGCTGGGGTTAACTGGGGATTTGCCTTGCTTCTCATACTCGGATCTGTTATGGAAACCCTGGGCCTTGGCTTGCACATCCCAGGCTCGGTAGCTGGGCCCTGATATCTGCTGACTCCTTTTCCTGATGGCAGCTTCTGCTTGTCCAAACTGCTGAGCGTCCCGTGCCTCCAGTCATCCTGATAGGCTTACCTGCAGCCTACTCCTCAGTACATATATGCTGTTCTGCTGTTCTAGCATCACTGTCGCTGGTGCACCCATCTCCCAGGTTCTGACTGTGTCCCGAAAGTAGAGCCAGCATGTGGGCTGTGAGAGAAAGAGATGAGCAAAGAAAAATTCCAAGGTTTTTGGCTTGGAAAACCGGAAGGAAGGAGTTGCCGACCGAGATGGGCAAGGCTGTAAGTAGAACACGTGTGGGGGATTAGCAGTTCAGTTTTGACTCGCTAAGTCAGAGATGTCCATTAGCCATCCTGGGATGGAGCCTGAGTTGGCCACTGGACATATTCCTCTGGAGTGTGGGGGAGAGGCCTGGACTGGATGTTGTTGTTTTGGACATTGTTGGCACATAGATGGCATTTAAGACATTGCGCTGGGTGAGATCACCAATGGGTTGACATAGATACAAAAAAGAAAAAGTCCGAGACATTCCTGCATTAAAAGATTGGGAAGAAGAGGAGGAACCAACAAAGAAGACCGCTTACTGGAAAGTGCCTGCTTTTTCCAGCAAATAATTAGTAACCATGACCATAGATGACCACAGATGTGCGTTAGGACCTGAGCAGTTTTTCTCTTTGTGTGTTTGTTTATAGCGTGCCTCACTTTACACACAGACAAGACGGCACATACTCACCATCAGCAAAGGTCCTTTTCAATATTTCCTACCGCAGACGGGGGTTGGCTCCACGGCTCCCTCATTTTCTCTCATGTGGGGTCGGCGGTGTGCGTCGGCGGTAAGACGCCGCGGAGGCAGAAGCAGAGACTGTCCCGGGAGCGGTGCGGTGCATAGCGTCACATCGGATGGAATACGCGGTTTAAGAAGAATCTTCCCTCTGCAAACACGCTCGCCGATCACACCTGCGGGGGGCCTGGCTTTCTGTGGTTCACATATTCTTCATCCGGTAAGTGGTGATTTTGCAGGAACTATTTTCTCTCTCTCTTTTTAAGGGAAAATTGGAAAAATTTTTGTGTTCACTTTTATACCAAAGTGTAATCTCCTAATTAAAATATAAAATATGTAAAATTATAAAAAGCCCACAAAAAATTTTAAGCACACCCATTTAAAAACACTTATAAAGGGAGCTGTTTTAGTTTTCCAGGAGTGTCATAGCAAAATACCATAAACTTGATGGCTTAAAACAACAAAACTTACTCCCTCGCAGTTCGGGAGGCTGGAAGTCCATGGCCAAGGCGTGGGCAGGGCCGCTTTCCCCTCAAGGCTCTAGAGCAGGGCCCTTCCCTGCCTCTTCCCGGTTGCTGGTGGTCGCTGGCAATCCCTGGTTCCCTTGGCTTGTTGGGGCGTCACTCCGATCTCCGCCTCTGCCTTCCTGTGGCCATCCGTCCCATACGTCTGTGTGCAAATTCCCATTTTCTTTTGAGGACACCACACATTGTATCAGGGCCCACTCTAACCCAGTGTGACCTCATCTTAACTCGATGACATCTGCAAAAACCCGATTTCCAAATAAAGTCACATTCACAGATTCTGGGTGGACATGAATTTTGGAGGGACACTACCCAAGCCACTGCCGTAACTAAGAGCAAACCTCGATCAATATGTAACTGAATACAAGGTATTAGATAGTTCTCATAAATATGCACACACACCCCCTGCAAAACAAAGACGTTAACACAGTAAACACTTAGGGCAGGAAAGAACTTACCCTAATTCTGAGTTCACGTCACACCTCACTGTTTCTCAGGTGGACTTTCTGAAACCTAATACTGTGTTCCGCTATGTCCCATGAGATCCCTCAGTTGGCCACATACTTGTCCTTTTATGGGTCATCCCTGGTGGGTTTGATAGTCTATCAGGGATGAAAACGAATTAGCTGGCTGTTTGGTTCTTCCCTTCCTTTCTCTCTGCTTCCCAGAGAATCCCAGATCGGGTGCTTCCAGGACTTCCAAATGGTCTCAGAGCTTTCGGATCATCAGACTGAATTTAAGTTACTGGGTCAGCAGTGAGCCTGACTGACCTCTCTAGAGCTAAGGTTGGCCTCCTAAAGGTGCAGCCTGCTGGAGGATGCAATCTGGCTCCCTCTGTTTAGCCAGGGGCGATGCCAGTGTAGAGGAGAGCAGAGATGGGGGTGGGGGTGTTAGGCTGCAGACCCCTCTTCTACTCTGAACGCTCCCCTCCCTGCTCCATGGAGCCACGGAGAGGATGGCCCAACCTAGGTCAAGCACGTAGTTCACAGGTGAAGAGGGCATGCCCCTTCCTGATTTCTTTTTACACCACATATTTCCAATTTTCCATTTACCAAGTGGCTGGAGATCCTCATCTTTCTTGGCTGCCAACATGAGATGGTTATTTTAAAATGTGCAATCTAAACAAGGCGTCTCAGATAGTAACTTCACAGCGCAGCACTGATCTGAATTTAGTCACTTCAGCAGCATATACACTAAAATGCTAAAACAGCTTTTTGGTTTTTTTCTACTCAGCATTCAACTTTTCCTTTAACGTGAGAGTACTTCTGCTGCATCAGTGACCTCCTTGGGCCAAATGTTAAGTACAGTTTATGCTAAGCCAGTTTATTTCTGCTAAAAGTAGACCTCTGCTTATCATGTCTGTCCTTTCTTCCCTCGAAGACAGACAAACGAATAAAGCCAGCCACCTCGAGAAGCTGATGCTCTCGGCACAGGGCTGAGTGCTATGCTAGGAACAGTTCCATCTGCTAAATGCCTACACAGGGCTGGTAGTAAAAATCACAGCAAATTTCCATCTTTTCCTGCAACACCCAAGTCCTTCCAAGGAAACTCCCCATCCGGCCACATGAGATAAAATTAGAAACCTGCTAACTTTGCTGCCTCCCCAGGACTGCTAACTTCAACAGAGGCTGCATTTCTTCAATTACGGAACTATAAACAGTAAGCTAATAACAACGGAGAAGAGGAAAACAACAATAAAGAAACAAAAACTAACAAAACCCTTCTGTATTCATGTTCTTTTCCACAAGTTGGTTCCCAAAGCTTCCTTCCTTTTGCTGAAAAATGGTATCATTAAAGTTATCAAGAGAATGCAAAATGCCAATATATTTCTCCCTTAGGGGCAGGGCTTAATCTGTGGTTGTCAAAGATTTGTGAACATAAGAAATAATCATATGGCGGTTTTGCTTTTGGCTCAATTACCCTCCTTCTATAAATGTGTCCTTGCCTCAAAGTGGGTGACAAAGGCCACCCACTGAAGTACAGGAAGACAAATCATAGACTGTGTGGAAATGACTCAAGATTCTCATCCATTTTCCTTCTTGTGTTTGTGATTTAAATACATTTACTATATTCATATGGTAGTAAATATTTGTTACCGTCTAATCACATCTAACCTGGACATTGTTAATTCATGAGCTGAAGAGTCAGGGTAATAAGAATGGATCAAAAAGCCTCTATGGATTGTTTTCCAAGATCCAGGTTCAGAGCACCTATGCAGCAGCTTCAGACCTGTATAACCAACTGCCTGTTCCATTGGGTTATCTCAAAGCACATCAAATGCAAGGCGTCTATAACCAAGCCAAATATCTTCCTTCTCCATCCTCATCCTCTTCCAGGGTTCCCCTAACTCACTGAATGGCATTAGTTGTGAAAGCCAGAAATCTAGGTGTCATCTTTGACTCAACCCTTTCCTCACTCACCCAATCCATTATCAAGTCATGTCAATTTTATCTACTCCATCCCTCTGGAGATTACCACTGCCACTACCAGAATGGCTCACTGTCTGCTGAGGTCTCCTGTCTATACACACCATCCATCATTAGCCCTCTAGAGTCCACTCTTCACACTAATACAGCCTGTCCATTTTCCACTAAACTTCGCAAATATTATCATGAAATACTTCACAAACACCAAAGAAAAAAACAAATAAATATGTACACTGTAAAGCAAAAGAAATATTCATGAAACCACCATCCAAATTAAAACATTACAATCATCAAATCTTTTTTTCATGCAAAAGTGATTCCCTTGCTTCAAGTTCACATAATTCAGTCACATAGGTGTTTCAATTCTTAGGTTCTGGCTGCTCCTTCTTACTTCAGAATCTTTGCTGTTGCTCTGGTTTAAAATATGCTCTCCCACCTTCATTTTCTGCCCTTTGAACGTCTCTTCTGCAACCCTCCTGAGTACCCGGATTTTCCTTCAAAGCTCTTTCATTTGAAATGACATATTTATGACAGATTGTTACAAGTCTAAAAGCTCCATGTGGGCACAGACTGTATCTTTTTTGCTTCTCAGTGCAGCAGTCATACCCACATAATACCCTGGCACCAGTGAGTGTTTGTTAGATGATCAAAGTCAGGTGACTTGCCTGAGTTATGGATGGATGGCAGGGGAAGGAGAAAGCTTAGAACTTCCTAGGTAGTGCAGCCACTGCATATGAAACGGTTCTCCCCATCAGTGAGTCCCACCTTTAATGGATTCTAGCCTATGAGGTTGTATGTCTCCTGGAAGGATTGCCTCATGTGATTACCTCAGCCTTAGATATGCTCCATGGACATATGAAGCTTCAGTCCGTGAGCCTTTCCATGGTGTCTCCACTCATTTAGCTACGGCTTATGTACAAGTGCCCTTAGGACTAGTATTTTAAAAGTTCACATCTTTACTTTGATCTTGCTCAGTCACGAACCTGTCCTAGCAACATCAGCATCATAGCGGAGTGAGGTTTCCCAGTAATCTCTCCCCTCCACTATACCACGAAAAAGACATCCATACTCCAACAGAGGACATCCAAACGCAACACAAAAGACATCAGAGAGACCCATGCAGCCATATGACGGAGGGTGGAGAGGCTGGAGCCCCCCTCAGAGGAGGTGGAACAGGGCAAGAGAAAACTTTGCTCCCTCCCCAAAGACTGCAATCAGGGACCCTGGGAGACCTCCAAGAGGGAATGGGGGAGGGGTCATTCACTCACAGCAACATCAAGGATCCCCAGGGCCCTTGCAGCCTAGAGGGAAGCCCTCTATCAGGGCAAAAGCTTTGGAGGGGGGTGATTTTATCAAGCCAACACCCCAGCAGAGCAGACAGTGAGATCACAGGGAGAAAACCCAGAGAGCATGCAGAAGAAAACGCCCCTCCACAACATGCCCAGCCCAGCTCCACTGCCTGGGATCTTCGCAGACCGCAGAGGGCTCAGAATACATGGCTCTCGACCCTTATCCAGTTGCAATAGGCAGTAACTGTGACCAAATACCACCTGGATGCAAAAAATCAGAGCCACGCCCTCTAGCAATACCAAACATTATATTAAATCTTCAAACCAGAGAGAAAACAAGCACCCAGAACTCAGTCCTGAGGACAGAGAACTATCTAATCTAAATGACAAAGAATTCAAAATAGTTATCAAAAAACTCAACGAGGTAAAAGAGAATGTACAGAAACAATTCAACGAGTTTAGGAGCTACTTCACAAAGGACATTGAAACTATAACGAAGAATCAATCAGATGAAAGACACAATGGAAGAAATAAAACAAAATATGGATTCCCTGAATGCTCAAGCAGACATCATAGAGGAGCGTATCAGCACAATTGAAGACAGACATGTTGAAATGCTCCAGATAGAGGAGGAGAGAAAACTAAGACTAAAAAGAAATGAAGAAACTCTCCGAGAAATATCTGACTCAATTAGGAAATGCTACATAAGAATTATAGGTATTCAAGAGGGAGAAGAGAAGGAGAATGGAGCAGAAGCTTGTTCAAAGAAATAATAGCAGTACTTCCCAAATCTAGGGAAGGAGATGGAAACCCATGTGGAAGAAGCTACCAGATCTCCTAAATATGCCAATGTAAAAAGACATACTGCAAGGCAGATAGTAGTGAAACTGACAAAAGTGAATGACAAAGAAAGAATACTAATTGCAGCAAGGAGAAGAAAATAACCTACAAAGGAACCCCTATCAGGCTGTCAGCGAATTCCCCTGCAGAAACCTTACAGGCTAGGAGAGACTGGAAGGACACATTCAAATCTTGGAAGGATAAAAACTGTCAGCCAGGAATACTCTATCCAGTGAAAATACCCTTCAGATATGATGGAGAAATAAAAACGATCCCAGACAAACAAGAGCTAAGGGAGTTCATAGCTATGAGACACCCCTTTCCCCCAAGAAATCCTCAAGAAGGCCCTCATTCCTGAAAAAAACAAGGGAGAAAGGGGTTACAAAGCACGTAGTAAGGAGATAAACAGGTAGACAGAATCAGAGCAGGAGAGCAAATACTCAAGTATTGCATTAAAGACAAAGGGAAGGAAAACACCAAAAACAAAGATAACCTTGTCATTTTAACCACGAACTCACAACACAAGATGGAATAAGATGTGAGAAACACAACTTAGGAGCAGAAGAGGAAAGGGACTGAATCAGTTTAGTCTAAGGAAATAAGAAGCCATCAGAAAAGGGCCTATCTTTTCCATGAGATTCTGAAGACAAACCTCATGGTAACCACTAAACAAAAAAGCAGAACAGAGACAGAAAGAATAAATAAGGAGAAAATAAAGAAACCCAACATAAAATACTACATAACTCAATTGGTAGATGAAAATACACAGGATGAGAAAGGAAGGAAATGCAGCAGAACTGAAAAGCGAGTGATAAAATGGCAGCATAAAGCCCTTAAACATCAATAGACCCCAAACATAAATGGATTGAATTCTCCAATAAAAAGACACAGAGTGGTGAGACGGATTAAAGAAGAAGACCCAACAATCTGCTGCCTCCAGGAAACACATCTCAGCTTCAATGACCAACACAGGCTCAGAGTGAAGGGGTGGAAGACGATACTCCAAGCTAATGGCAAACAAAAGAAAGCAGGTGTGGCAATACTTATATCAGACCAAGTACACTTCAAGATAAGACAGCTAAAGAGAGACAAAGAAGGGCAGTATATAATGATCAAAGGAACATTCCATCAGGAAGACATAACACTTAGAAATATCTATGCACCCAACAGAGGAGCACTGAAGTACATAAAGCAGCTATTAACAAACCTAAAAGAAGATATTAATAATAACACAATAACAGTAGAGGACCTCAACACTCCAGTCACATCAATGGATAGATCATCCAGACAGAAAATCAACAAGGAAACAGCGGAATTAAATGAAAAGCTAGAACAGCTGGACTTAATAGACATATATAGAACACAACATCCAAAAAGAGCAGAACACACATTATTCTCAAGGGCGCGTGGAACATTCTCAAGGATAGACCAAATGATGGGAAACAAGGCAAGCCTCAAAAAATTTAAGAAGATTGAAATAATAACAAGCATCTTCTCTGATCACAATGCTATAAAGATAGAAATTAATAACAAGAAAAAAGCTGAAAAGGGACAAAGATGTGGAGACTAAACAACATGCTACTGAACAACCAATGGATCACTGAAGAAATTAAAGGAGATGTCAAAAAACATGTGGAGACAAATGAAAATGAAAACATACCATCCCAACTCATATAAGATGCAGCAAAAGCCGTATTAAGAGGGAAATTCATCGAAATACAGGCCCACCTTAACAAACAAGAAAAACCCCAAATAAGCAATCTCAAACTACACTTAAATCAGTTAGAAAAAGAAGAACAAACAAAGCCCAAAGTCAGCAGGAGAGAAATAAGATAAAGCAGAACAGAAATAAATGCTATTGAAACAAAAAGGCAGTAGAAAGTATCAATGAAACAAAGCCCTTAGCCAGACTTACAAAAAAACAGAGAAAGCTCAGATAAAATTAGAAATGAAAGAGGAGAAATAACAATGGATACCACAGAAATACAACAGATTATAAGAGAATAGTACGAAAAACTATATGCCAACAAAATGGACAATCTAGAGGAAATGCATAAATTTTTAGACTCTTACAACCTCCCAAAGCTGAATCAACAAGAAACAGATAATCTGAACAGACCAATCACAAGGAAAGAGATTGAAATAGTAATCAAAAGCTTCCCAAAGAATAAAAGCCCAGGACCAGATGGCTTCCCTGGGGAATTCTACCAAACTCTCAGAGCGGATTTAATATCTATCCTTCTCAAGCTATTTCAAAAAATTAGGAAAGATGGGATGCTTCATAACACACTCTATGATGCCAACGTCACTCTGATACCAAAGCCTGACAAGGACAACATAAAAAGGAAAACTACAAGCCAATATTGCTGATGAACATAGATGCAAAAATCCTCAACAAAATATTGGCAACCCAAATTCAGCAATACATCAAAAAGATCATACATCATGATCAAGTGGGATTTACACCAGGGACACAGGGATGGCTCAACATCTGCAAATCAATCAATGTGATACACCACGCTAACAAAATGAGGAAGAAAAACCACATGATCATCTCAGTAGATGCAGAGAAAGCATTTGACAAGATACAACAACCATTTATGATAAAAACTCTTAACAAAATGGGGATAGAAGGAAATTACCTCAACATAATAAAGGCCATATATGACAAATCCACAGCTAACATCATACTCAACGGGCAAAAACTGAACGCCATCCCTCTGAGAACAGGAACAAGACAAGGATGCCCATGGGGCCAGGCCCATGGCTGAGTGGTTAAGTTCGCACGCTCCGCTACGGTGACCCAGGGTTTCGCTGGTTTGGATCCTAAGCGTGGACATGGCACCACTCATCAGGCCATGCTGAGGCGGCATCCCACATGCCACAACTAGAAGGACCCACAACTAAAATATATACAACTATGTACTGGGGGGATTTGGGGAGAAAAAGCAGAAAGGAAAAAAAAAAAAAGAGATTGGCAACACTTCTTAGCTCAGGTGCCAATTTTAAAGAAAAAAAAAAAAAAGACAAAGATGCCCACTGTCGGAGGTGAAGGACTTATACAATGAAAAGTATAAGACATTATTGAAAGAAATAGATACTGGCATAAAGAGATGGAAAGATATTCCATGTACATGGATTGGAAGAATAAACATAGTTAAAATATCTATACTACCCAAAACAATCTACAGATTCAATGCAATCCCAATCAGAATCCCAATGACATTCTTCACGGAAATAGAAGAATCCAAAAATTCATTTGGGGCAACCAAAGACCCTGAATTCCTAAGAAATGCTGAGAAAAAAGAACAAAGCTGGAGGCATCACAATCTCTGACTTCAAAATGCACTACAAAGCCATAGTGATCAAAACTGCATGGTACTGGTACAAAGACAGACACAGAGATCAATGGAACAGAACTGAAAGCCCGGAAATAAAACCGCACATCTCCAGACAGCTAATCCTCGACAAAGGTGCAAGAAGATACAATGGAGAAAAGATAGTCTCTTCGATAAATGGTGTTTGGAAAACTGGAGAGCCACACGCAAAAGAATGAAAGTAGACCATTATCTCACACCATACACAAAAATAAATTCAAAATGGATCAAAGACTTGAAGATATGTCCTGAAACCATAAAACTCCTGGAAGATAATACAGGTGGTACAATCTTTGACACCAAACTTAAAACGATCTTTTCAAATACCATGTCTTCTCAGACAAGGGAAACAAAAGAAAAAATAAACAAGCGGGACTTCATCAGATTAAAGAGCTTCTACAAGGCGAAAGAAATGAAGATCAAAACAAAAAGACTTGGGGCCGGCACCATGGCCGAGTGGTTAAGTTCGCGCGCTCCACTGTGGCGGCCCAGGGTTCAGATCCTGGGCGTGGACATGGCACTGCTCGTGAGGTCACGTTGAGGCGGCGTCCCACATGCCACAACTAAAAGGACCCACAACTAAGATATACAACTATGTACAGGGGGTTTGGGGAGATAAAGCAGAAAAAAAAAGCCTACCCACCAACTGGGAGAAAATATTTGCAAATCATAAGGGGTTAATCTCCATAATATATAAGCAGCTCACACAACTAAAGAACAAAAAAACAAATACCCTGATCAAAAAATGGGCAGAGGATATGAACACATGTTTTTCCAAAGAAAACAGACAGATGGCCAATAAACACATTAAAAGATGTTCAACATCACTAATCATAAGGAAAATGCAAATCAAAACTACACTGAGATACCACCTTACGCTTGTTAGAATGGCTATAATCACTAAGACTAAAAATAACAAATGTTGGAAAGGATTTGGAGAAAAGGGAACCCTCAGACACTGCTGGTGGGAATGCAAACTGCTGCAGCCACTATGGAAAACAGTACAGAGATTCCTCAAAAAACTAAGAATAGAACCACCTTATGACCCAGCTATCCTGCTACTGGGTATCTACCCAAACAACTTGAAATCAACAATCCAAAGTAACACATGCACCCCATGTTCATTGCAGCACTATTCACAATAGCCAAGACATGGAAGCAATCCACGTGCCCATCAACTGAAGATTGGAAAAAGAAGATGTGGTATATGTACACAATGGAATACTACTCAGCCATAAGAAAACAAAAAATCATCCCATTTGCAACAACATGGAAGGACCTGGAGGGAATTATGCTAAGCGAAATAAGCCAGACTGAGAAAGACAAACACCAGATGATTTCACTCATATGTGGAATATAAACAAACACATGGACAAAGTAAACAGCTCAGTGGTTACCAGGGGAAGAGAGCACTTACGTGGTGACAGACAAGAAATAATGTACAACTGAAATTTCACAATGATGTAAACTATTATGAACTCAAATAAAAAAAATTGTACTAGGAACCAAAAATTGAGAGCTTAATAAATTATTCATTGCAACTACTATATAGCTAAAAGAATTTTAACTGGTTTGCATTAAGTATACACACTTGAAATAAATGTTCTATAGCTGTACATGTGAATGTAAAATATTAAATTCACAAGGACCCTTTGCCATGAATCAGCTGTGACCCAAGTCAATCATGTATATTTACATCTTAAATAAGTATCTTAAGAAACTAAAATATGCAATGTTTATTATCACAAGTTCACTAGAAACAAATTTTTATTCTGAAAAGTCAGGAAAACTATACGTCTAAAATGAAGTTATTTCTACCTTACAGGCTACACTACATTTATAGAGTGTATGTTAGGTCCATACTTTGACTGGGGTTTAAATTCAGGGTCTGCAGCTTCCGGCAGTCCTCGAAAACACTCTTCATGTAGTTTCCTCCTCTATGAAGGAGGGACACAGCCCATTCAACATGACTGTCTCAATGTCAAAAATAACGCGTGGAAGTAGCTGTCAGTCTGCACTCAGTAAAGGTTAAAAAAATTAACATACATTTGATAGCACTGTAGCATACACAGGTTGTAAAATCCTATAAAAACAGTAAGATATAAATAAAGTAAAACACAAACCCCAGAGTGTCTCTTCTTTCATTTATGTTAAATCAAACTGCCATAAGATATTGGACTAAAGCATGGAATAAATCTGCACCTTCAGTAGCAATTAAAATATCTGGTTTCAAAGGGAAGGGACGGCGTGTTGACAAGAGCTGCATGTTGTCTGGCTGTAAAATATATCACTGACTCACAGGTTAACTATGTCAGTACCATAATAATCTTTTTAAACTTGTGCAAGTTTTGGTCACACTGTTTTTGTTTTCTAAGATAAAGTGCAGAGAACCCCTTCCTCTCCTTTCCTCTTGCAGCTCTGAGCCTTTCTGCCCACAAGCGTGAAGTGCTGTACAGCAGGGCTGCCCGCTGAGTGCGGGGCCGCAAGCTGGGGTTTCTGCAGGCACGGTTTCGCCCGCCTGGCCTAACTTCCCGAGATGGCAGCTCTTCCCTCCACTCTCCTCTGCAGAAGGTGGGGCTGAAACCCATCCCAGCACTGCTCCCTGTGGGACAGGGACTGGCTTATAGGCAGCTGGCCGCTCTTTCTCACACACAAGCATATCTTAATATGCTTCCTTTCAGGTAAGACGGGAAAAAGGTGTGAAGAAGACTCTTATCAATCATTTCTGTAGACCTCAGCACAAGTATTTTTCAATATATTTTCTTGACAATTAGATACCAGGATAAGACTTAATTTAACATTTATAAATACTTAAGAAAAAAGGAATCAATTTGGAAAACTTTATCAACAAGTTATCAAAACAAAGATTTGTTTTTTGACAGTGAATGTACAATATGATATGCCATTATTTCCTCTCTAGGAATAAAAAGAAAATGAGAAATACAGTAATAAGTAAATATAAGCTCAGTAGATTTTTTCAACACTTGAGACATGAGTTAGAAAAAGTGCAATTGAACAAACCAATTGTAAAAGCCATTTTTGCAACAATAAGAGAAATCTGAATATGGACCACATATTAGATGGTATTAAGTAATTATTGTTTATATGTTAGGTGTAATAATGTCATTGAGGTTGCTTTTTCTTTAAAAAGGTTTTATCTGTTAGAGACACAAACTGACGTATTGTAAGTGAAATGATTTATGTGGGATATGCTTTAAAATATTCCAGCTTAAAAAAAAATTGTGCGCATGAGTGTGTTGTAGTGCAGGGATGGGGGGGGGTGGCGCAGATAAATATGGTAACAGACCAAAGTATTCTAATACTGCTGTTGATATATATAATAAACAAAATAATGGAATTTCACGTCTCTCTCTGAGTGGCACCTGGTGTAATGCACTATACAGATAAAAAAGGTATTTCAGTTATGCATTGCCAAGCACACTTGTGACTTCTGAGAGTGAATCTAGTGTTGCAATTTTAGGGCGTAATGGTAACAGGTAGGTAGGAGTATGGAAGGAATACACTGGAATCACCGGATCTCCTACAACTCAGAGAAAGGCAGAAGAGATGCAACAGAGCTGGGATATTGGACTATATTAATGTATTATGAGAACAAAAGCAATGTCTTGGTTTTGAAGGCAAAGCTCTTTCTATACGAGGCTTGAGGTCACCACATACTCTCTTCATATGTCGTTTCTGTGGTGTAGCACAGCACCAGAAACTCTTGATGGAATTAAATCCTCAGCATTTAAAACTCATATCCACCGCAGTTCTAACGTATAAAAACAAAACATTCTTTACGCTGAGTGCCTTTTTATGCATTCAAGAACACTAAGCTAGACATTTTCTATGTAGGATTTAAGCAGGAGTACAAGTGAATTAAACCATTCAGAGAAAAATGCAACGAAAGCTGCATTAGTTTTGATGACCCATGAACATTGATACATATTATTTTGTGTGATACTTCATCCACATAAAAAAGGCATTCTACTTCTTTATTTTTTTATTTGACAAGCAGCAATATCATGTTTGTCATTTTAATGTAGATACAATTATTAGGTTATCTGTCATATTACAATATTTAAGTTTTTTATTTTATGTCCTTTAAGATACATTAAAAAAAAAAACACATCAACTGCAAACGTGAAGGGGAGAAAAAGCATGGTACCCAACCAGATTTCCACATTTCAGCAATACTTCACTCATTCTTTTAATAAAGTTTTAAGAAATGTCAGAATGACATGAGCTTGAAATATCTCTAGGCATTTTCTCGGACGCTCATGACGTGGCACTGGTGATGTTGTAAACAGCAGAAAAACAGGGGCTGCCAAATGACCAAATTATGGAGGCACAGGCCTGCTTTTTCCCACAGGAACACACCAAATGGTGACGGCAATGACCTCACACCCACACTGGAGGAGAGCGACATCACGCTACGTAGCTGTATTCATCTGCTGACGCTTGGCTGCGTTCAATGTACTGTTTGTCTATGAGAACTTCAATACACTTCTTAATCATGCTGATGCTAGGATTAAACCTAGCTCTTGACTGGCTAATCACCTGTGTAAGAGAGACACAGATGTCAAATTACTGCTAATCAATCAGTTATAATTACTCTTAACCATCAGCTATAAAGGGCCTCAAATTTACTGAGGTTTCATCAAACAGACCTAATCCTATAGGAAAAATATACTTAAAATAATTATGAAACTATAGTAATTAAACTGAATAAAAACATCCTAAATGGATGGGCTTGATCTATCAAGTGAGTGCCGCGAACAACATCAAACTTTTTAAACTCAGAGGACAGTGCACAAGGAGAAAGGAGGCATGAGATCAATTTCAACGTGACGACCAAAAATGCTTGTATGCAAATAAAAGCCCCAACGTTCATGTTGTGAAGGAATTAAAATGCAGAATACTGATATATACTAAAACAAACTATAAACTAATTAGTCTATCTAAATACTCACACATACCCTGCAGTTCCATTTAACGTCTATTCAACATCCAGCTCTTGGCTGAAGTAACACTTTCTCAAGAAAGCTTTCCCCAACATCCCCTTAGTCAAGACCTTTATATACATTGTCATAGTACTTTATATCCTTTTTAAGTGCATGTTAATCCAATTTTATATTTACCTGCATATTATTTCAATAATATATTTCTTCCCTATTAGACTGTGAGCTCCAAAAGGGCAGGAACCATATCTGTGTTGCTCTGCATTACACCCCCGGTGACTAGCACAGCACTCTATCACATGGTGACACTCACATACTCATGGAACAAATGTATATTTGATGTGGTCAAGTTCCTTCAATAACTGGACAGAAGAGTCAATAAACTGGTGAGGTTTAGATCTCTAAATTCAAGCCAAAGCAAACCTGAATTTAATACTGAAATTACGAGTACTGTTCTCATTAAGCAATGAAGCATTTCTTTATGCTGCTTGGGAATCATATTAGTTCTATATTGTCTTTACAAACAAATCTTCCTAATTCATACATTGGTCACATCCTCTCCCCCGGGAAGTCTTGAGGACTTGTCCTCCTTTACCTCTTGAATGAGGGCGTTATGCCGAAGTACTTTCCGTGCTTTCATGATACGAACTATAGCAGCTTGCAGATACATTTTCCGGTCCTCATCTACAGCACTTCTAGTCTGTTCCATTTCCTGTTTTACAAGGAAAAAAAAAAAGCAAATGAGACATTGTCATTGAACTTATTTTTAAATCATTTTTTCAGTGAGTTTACATAAATTTCCAATCAATATTGAGTATCAAATTATACAGTTATAACGTGCCCAATATCACATAGCCATTACCAAAAGAATATCTACAGTGAGCTATATATAATTTCTTGGGCTAAATTTGGAAGGCTATTTTAAAAAAATTAACACTATTATAAACTGTACTCAATGTAAATAGGCAATGAAGTAGAACTTAAACGACACAGAGCAATGATTTCAAGACCGCTGCCCTGTCAGTGAGTACCGACTCTATACCACAATGCTTTTTGATGCTTCAGTAACTGGCTGCAAGTGCACACTGGTTCAGGGTTCAAGGGGAAAAGTTGTAAAGAGTTCCATTTGGATCAAGCAGAGAAGCCAGGAAAGATGGGCCAGAAATGGCCAATCTCCGTGGAGCTCAAGGAAACACAGTAGAAGCAAGGCATTGAAGCAGGCACATTAATAGGGATCTCAGAACCGCTTTCAAAGGATAAAATACAATCCACACATTACAAATTATTTTTCATTAGCCTAGAGGAAAATGGGATCCTGAATATTTTAGGGTTCAAATTTAATAGCAATTAATCACCGTTTATGTCCCCATGGGGGAGTAAGTTCCTGAAGAGGACCTGGCATCTTATACACCCTCACATCCTGCCCTGAGCCCAAGGACAGGGCAACTCACAGAGGCAATGAGGAAATTTAACTGATACGAACAGGCTATCCCAGACCAACTGGATAACCACTGCTGAGTTACAGGGCAGCAGCAGCTCACCACACAAATGGCTCACCTGGTAGTCTGGAGCCTGCTCCAGAACCCCCAGATCACAATTCGTGTTTCAATAAGATCCCCAGGTGGCTCACTTGCCCATGAGAGTTGGAGAAGCAATCTCAACAACTTTTCTTTGAAAGAAATATGTTGTAAAACTTTCCCTTATTTTACAAGTGAAAAATATAAGAGATTATAGTAGTATTCAAGGCAGGAATTTTTGGAAAGAATGCAAAGCATCGCCACACACTTTAATACAGTTTAAGAGCACATGTGACTAAGCTATACCACTTTTTCCTTCGATGCCCACTACACTGCTATTTTTAAAATCTGAAATACCAGCAGAGACTCTGTTTCTAAGGTTGGTCAACACAAAGAATAAACCAGAAAAGAAGTATCATATCATAATTTTGATGTGCAATGTTTTGCATTATCTCAATTTTACTACTTGTAAAATGTCCAATGCTTAAATATTTCCCAAAGAAATGATATTAAAAAGCACTTACCTGTGGTGTGTCTTTCTGCATTGACGTAGTAATCTTAAATTTTGTTCTTTTACTGCTGAAGTTCATATTTAATGAAAATGAAGATTCCGCATCGATGTCTTCCTACAATTAAAAATAATTCATTTACATTTATAAAAAATTATTAAACAGTTGCTGCAAATAAGGTCATGAAATTAAATAACGACCAAGCAAAAAAGACTAAACTCTCATAATCTTTTACATTACAAATATTATTTAAGAGTAAAATAATTGTCTTGTGTCAAACCAAAAAAAAAGCAGTAACAATTCTTTTCTAATATTACACTTGATAGAATTTTAATCAGTTTAGATTTAGAAATGAGCTATTTTCTGGCCCAACTATTATATATATTACCTTTGCCTAAGACAGAAGAGTCAAGCTCACTGGCTTAAACAGAATTTAACATTTTAATTTTTATGAAACACCAACGTTCATAATTTTTCCATCACCCCAATTTGAGAAACCGAACAACCTAATGTTTCTCAAAATGCCGCAATTACAAAATGCCAATTAAAAATAACCAACTAGAGAAACAAGCTGTTTCCAGGGCACACGAGGACCATCTCTCCGTGACCCGGGGTGATTCTGACAGAGCTCATCCTCCAAGTCATGTTTTATTCACTCTGCCAGAAGCAAGTGGTCTTTTCTCAAGTAAAAGCTGTTAAGCCAATTTTTAGAATTACAACTTCTCTATCAGGCTTATGAAAGCCACTCATATCATGCAGTGGAATTTCTCCATTCACAGGATCAAGAAGCACTTGGCAGATGGACTCATTCTCAATAATAACATAAGAAATTCTGCTAAGGAACTGGCAGATTCATAATTAAAATTTAATGTGCAAACAACCTATATTTATTTTGTGCATTTCTGGGCAGCAAAAACATGTTTTAGAAAATTTTTTAAGCATTTAGTGAAGTTTAAAATTTTTAACTCAAATTTTTAATCATAATTAATTGCCTCAATTAAACCTTAATATTAAGAATTTAATATTTTGTTAAGATTCTGAAAGTCAGAAAAATTAATCATTTCTCAAAATTAAGAAAAGCCTGATTTGAATTTCAGAATAAAATGCCATTTAGAGCTGTTCAATTATAGGCTAACAAATATTACCATAATCTTAGAGATGTCAGCAAAATGAATTGATGAGAGAAATAAGCTGTAGGCTACTAACCAAAATAAAAATGAAATATTTACAAGACTTTTTTCTTATAGGCACAATAATTTGAAGCAGGAGATTTAACCCACATCCGTTGCTTTTTTAACCATTTAAATATCCAAGATACCCTCTAACAACAACAAAAACTTACTACTAGAAAAATAAGTTGTAAAGAAAAAAGGAATCTAGTATTGGCTTGCTATTCTCACGACAGACATTAAAAATATATGGTGGTTAGCTGAGTCCTGAAGTTAAGGGACATGAGAGTGGGAGCATTTGGGATGGAGTGATACATGTCAAATATGTGTACAAAGAGATATCAATAGGCTGTCATTTCCTATTGTAGGACCATGTAATTAAATATTAACATGAAAAATACTCAGACAGATTTGTGAGAAGCTGCAGTTTTCAAACCTCAGTTAACCAGAATCTTCCCAGTGGCAGAATTTATACTTTTCAGTAAACTGTCATAGTACAGGACAAAGAAAATCAAACTAGAAAGGGCACGCAGGCACCAACTTATATAGCCATCTCTGTGACTCCTCCAGCTCACAGCTGTAAGGAGTCTGGAGTAATGTAGCTCATTTAAGCACTTTCCAAAGTACGAAGGTCATTAACAACTATAACCTTACTTTTAAAACTGCAAACATCCCATGAAAAAGCTTTATGTTTATAATACTTAAATTTCTTGAAATATTACCGCATACCTTTTCTGAATCATGGTTAATCATTTTCACATCAAGTAATGATTTGATTGTTTTCGTCAGTTCCTTCTCATTCATCTGAGTGCTGTCTTGAAGCTCTTTATAGCTGACAGTCTCACTGTTGTTAAAGGCAAGAAGAACTGCCATTTGGTATGTTGTAACCATGGCTACATATGGTTTGCCCAGATAGTTCATTTTAACTTCTCCTACAATTAAAACAAAATAGTGATAATAAAGTGATCAAAGAAACATTTCAAAATTACTTGAGTAATAATTATTTTGCATATTTTTCTCTTCAAAGAGAGAACCAAGGACTTATTAAATCGTTGTAAAGCCATTTCTGCTAGCAATGTAATTAGGGGAGGGATATCAGTTTTGAGTACGTAGTATGAATTATAGTCAGGCTATCATAATTTTGCCAGTAGGTATGAACAATGTCATTAAATATTAATAGGAAGGCTAAGACTTGGGCAGAAAAAAAAAAGAGGACGTGGGGCTAGGAGGAGAAACGGACAGACAGACAAAGGGGAGAGAATGACAGCTTGTAAGTAGCAACTGCCTCATACGCTGTGTACATCTGGTCTACCCCAGGTAAGGTTCAAGCCTACAGGGAGGTCTGCAAGCACAGAGAAGATGCTTCTGCGGCTCCACCTAAACTGTCATTTCGCCAAAATTTAACAATGCTATTTTGTCTCATAAATAACATTTTTCTACCCAGTAATTTTCTAGAGGCAAATACAAACGGGAGGAGAGACAAACAGGCAGATCCATTATTTTGTTGAAATGGTTGATAGAACAAAAATGTTCTAAACTCTACACTACCCTGAGAGCTACAAAAGATACAGCAGGTTTAGGCATACTACAGTGCTGCAACGTCCCAGGGAGACAGCACACTGAAAAGCTTGTCACAAACAGTATGACAAACACGCATGCACTCTGTTACACACACAAAAGTTAACGCAAGTCAAAGAGCAGTTTCCTAAAGCATACAATTGTGGTTTAGTGACTGTATTTTCTCTCTCTCTCTCTCTCACACACAGGCTGCATTATTTGACTGTTAATGGATTTATAAACCAAACCAGCATGAGATTTGGTTTTAGAGCTCTCTACTGTAACTCAAGGAAACTGTATTTCACATGAACTCACTGCAGAGGCTGCATTCTCCCTGTTAGTAGTAATTAGTAACTCTGATCAAGATTTTGTGCTTCTTGTCTTTATTCATTATGTAACAAAGATTTTAAAGGATATAAGTCAATTCTCCAACTTATCAATACCACACATGCCTAATCTAACTTTCATTATGCCTCAACTTATTTCAGAAAAAACTGATATTCAGAAATATTCTTCAAAATTATCTGAATAAGAACACCTAGAGAAAAAATTCTCTCTGAATTTTTGTGAAAAGAGGCTTAATATATTAATTAGAATATCCAATTCATGCAAAGTAAAAAATTATCATTAGGAGTGTCCTACTAACATAACAATTAGTATAAAGAGTATTTTAAAGATTTTCATTTCAACATTTAAGTTTCGGAAATGTGATAAGAAGCAAAACATCACATAAATTGCATATATTGTTTGTGCACAGACTGCTTAATCATATGCTAGAAACAAGTATGAAACAATGCATCAAGCCCCTGGAAGATTAAGTAGGACCATCAGCCAACATGTCCCTGATGCTGTAAGATACTGCCATGGGTTTGGAAACAGAATGAGTTTTCTGTGACACAAAACAGTCTTTCACTACCACCAGAATTCAAGGAGCATTAGGAGACAATGCAAGTAAGGGGTCAAGGTATCATTTACTTATTATCAAGTTCATTCTACAACCCTTAAAAAGAAGAAAACTAGTTAGTTTTGTATTATGCCTTTTTTGTAGTTGTTGCTATTTTTCAATAAATTGTTGGGATCAGGGGCACATGGACCTCTTCCCTTTTTGTTCAGCACCATGCTCTTATTAGTCAGCCCACAGCTGAAATAAACGGAGAAAGAGGGACATGTGGGGCAGGGAGGGAAACTCCAAATTTGGATGGTTTATTTAACTACTGCCATGTGAAATGACAAAAGAGGTCATTTACCCTGCAGAATAGGTTGGCAAACTCTACGAAACTCCAAACTACAAAACATTCTGATACATAGATACTTTAAAAAATAAGCCAACCATAATTCAAGTGGTATTTACAATTACAGGAAATAAAGAGTGGGCAGAACTCTCCCAAGAGTTTCATCCAAGTTACTCCCCCGTGACCTGTCGGCTCCCTAGCCTCTAAGGGAAAGCTCTTCTTTACAGAAGAATGTCAGCTAGTAAATGTTGCATGATTAACAGAATATTATTAATTTGCAAACAGTGATGAAATAACTGATTCAAGCCACAATCACCAGTGGATGCTAAAACCATTAGGTAAGGTTGTTCCTGGAAAAAGGTATTCCTATGGGACCTAAGTATCACCCCTCAGGTCACGTGCGAATTGAAAAAGGGAAAGAGTATCTTTCCAACAGAGATAGCTGTTGGTCAGCACCTTACCCAGGTGACCAAGTATAGTATCTCCAACAGTGGGACAATCTGACATTACATGCCTTATGATGTAATGCAACATGAAGGACACAGGACCACCTAAGAAGTATTCTTGCCAACAATACTGAATCTAAATATAATCAAACTTTTAGATCTAATTTCTACTTTACAGAAAGTACAGGGAATAGAAAACAAATAAAATACCTCCCAAGCAAATAATCTGATAAATCCAGAACACTCGCTGTTCTCTGAGACAACTGCCCTGGTCTTTTCCAAACAGTACTTGGAGCGGGCTTAAAGCGGGAGGAGCGGCGGGGAAAGGATGTGGGAGATACAATAACCAAGTACAATTAGTGACATTTGATTGCTTTAAAAACAGGCATTAAAGTCTCTTGAGGGATAATCAGGGAAATCTGAACAGAGACTGCACATTAGATATTAAAACCCCTCACAATGTTAGCTGTTGAAGTATTGAAATCAATAACGAGAAAACTTCAGTCAATGACAAAGAATCACGACCTTTTAGGGTATGTGCAACATTCTGGTGTGACTTTCATTTTGGCAAATTTGCCAGATTTCATTTTGGCAAATAATACTAACACATATAATGATTTACAGCTCACTAAATGTTAATGCGATCTAATCATATGAATTATTTATGCATCGTCTACGTTTCTATGTGGATGATGTGTCTCTCTTGGGTTCATCATTTATCACTTCTCTCTCAGCAACTGACCTGGGATTCCTATAACTTCTTGTGAGGCCACAAATAAAACTCATTTATATCCAGACAGTGTAACAGTGTCCAGGTTCTGCATTTGCCTTTCTTCATCAAGTTGTTCTCTCAGAATAATTCTATCCAATGTCCTAATCATAAATCCAATGGAATTTCCCTCTTTCTCTCATTCAGTTTCTCTGTCATATCTGATACAGAAGATTGCTTACTTCTTAAAATTCTTACTCTCTTGGTGATAAGCTCTCAACATCTTCTTTGCCTATCTTAGCTAAGTCCTATTCCTTCTTGAAAACCGAGTTCAGAAGCTATTTACTGAGAACCCTTTCCTCACCTGCAGCTGTTTGCTACCACTGACCTATGGGATGCTGCAATACCATGGGCTTGCCTCTCTATCAGAACACCCCAAACACTGTACTACAATTATTTACTTGTCTGTCCTCCTACTAGATGTGAGCTTTTTGAGGGCTGAGGCTCTGTATTTTATCTGTATGTGGCATACAGGAGTACTCGGAACACAGAAGATGTTCTCTGAGTTGATAAATGAATTTTACAAAGATAAAAGATGAGTAAACAGGTTCAGAGAAGTTAAGTAACTTGCTCAAGGTTTACAGCTAGAGGCTAATATCCCTACATCTTCTGATTCTAAATTCCTCCAAAGACCACTTTATCCCCTATCTCCAACCACTTGTGGGCTCTGGATGACAATACAAAAATACCTGGGAATGTGGAAATGAACTAGGAAGGACTAATTTTGACAATATGTATAAGCACGAGTGACAGGTGTTCTCAAAAAACAGAACTGAGTGATCAGTCCAGGATCAGAGCCAACATTCTAAAGAAGTCCTGGAGCTTTGTGACAAATGTGGGGATTCCAGAACAAGGACCTTAAAGGTGGGTAGTGTTTGAGAACCTCTTGTTAAGTGAATAAATGAGAAACAAAACCAAAATAAAACTTTGCACAACACTTTCACTGACAGATGACAGATATCTTCGGTGCCTTCAGTGATTCAAAACAAGAAATGAATTTACAACATTAACATCTCTTTCCCAAAGGAAGAAACTATTTGGCTTTAATTAAGATACATACACACAACACTAAAACAAACCAAAACAAACAAGAATTCCAAAAATCTGGTTATTATAGATCAGCTTGGGAATTTAATACAGTTCAAAAACAGAAAAAGAAAGTTGTTCTCTTTCCTATTTAGGTGTTATTGGTAACAGTTTTCATGTCAAATTCCAATGGCAAAAGCTATATACAGTTTTTTCTTTTTTCCTATATAAAACTAGTTGCTGAACACCAAAAAAGTGAGCCCTTCACTAAAATTACTTCAGGAGACAGGATGATTATTGCTGAAACACTGAGAATAACCAAGAGAGCTTTAAATTCACCAAGATCGATAGTCAGGGGAAGTAAATTAAATTCAAGAACATTATGATATATCAGTTTTTTTGTTATCCAAAGGCTGGTCCAGCAATGTTTTCTTCTTAAAATCAATCATATTAACTAAATGAAAACAGAAAACATTCACAAAAGATGTAAAATTAAAGGCCAACTACTAAGTGACTACTTACTAAAAATACCAATAAACATCTCTTTATTTCACAAACTACTGAAAAAATTAAAATGCCCAGCTTGTTCAATAAAGATAAATTTGTATAAATATGTATTACTATGTACTAATTACTATGTACTAATATGTATTATTAACATAATGAAATCTCGTATTCCAAATGTAAATTAAATAAATGGCATTTAAGAGAAATTACTGAGATGCAATTTCTCTTACGTGAGTGAATACAAAGAATTTCCTAATAAGGGTTATGGCAGCTGATCAGATTTCCTTGCACCATTTCTAAGAGAGACAAACATACACAGCCTTCCCCTTCTTGTAGAGAAAGCAGATTCAATGCACTTCTCAAAGCACAGCTTCAGCAAAAGTAGAGCAAATCTGAGCGCCTGCTTTCGCTAACATCTTCAGGCAACTCAGAGCAACACACACAGTCTAGAACCATGCAGCTCCTGAATGACAAATCCTATTGTCAAATGAGTGGACCTCACTGTTCCAGAAAGAAGCAAACGAAATTATTAGATTCTGATTAAACTTTTCTAAAATTGGAAACTACTGGAAATTAAGACATTCTAGAAAAAGGATTTACTATTGAGTTTACTATAGTACCATAAATAAAAATCAAATGGTTAGGTCTCCTTCTAACGCTATAACAGTTAATGAAATTTCTAAAGAGATCTGGCATATTTAGAGAAAATAAAGTTTTCAGGAGTATCAGACTCATCAAGTCTGGATTTCTAAATAAAATTTCTAATATCTATAAAAAGTAGTTTGTTATATAAATGTAATAAACCATTATAAAATTCAGAAATTTTCTTAATAAGCAGTAATAATACAAGCACTATAATTAAACTATCATTAGAAAAAACTTATAATTAGGCTACAGGAAATTTCTAAATTATTAACATAAGCATATCAGGTAAATTTCATTAAACTAGATATAATTTAATGCATTTTACCTGTACAGAGGTAATGTAACCATGTAAGTTTCCTCCCACTGAAATGCTGACTGTAAAATAATTCAAACTGTAAAAAAGAAAAAAATATCAAATTATTTTCAGCTACTATAACACAACTTACTTGGCTATTACTATACTAAAAAAGTAAAAAAAAAGTTCATGTTAGAAAAGACACTATAGCTCATCTGGTATACCTACTCATGTTACAGATGAGAACACACACCCATGTGCATCCCTGACCAAGAGCACACAAATATTAGCCCAGCTCTTTTCACTTACAACCTCGTCCAGAGTTCTCGCTTCTAAACCACGACCCTGTAAATGTGACTTTTTGTATAAATTCAGAAATGACACAGTCAGTGATTGATTATCATTTTTGAATATCGATTTGGATTTTATAAATACTAATTACTGATCCAAAACACCATCATATAAATTTCAATATGAAAATACAAATCATACTTTTATTTCTAATCTATTTGCCAACATATACCCTTGCCGAAGTGATGGGCTGACTAGTACTTTTGTGGTTACCCATACGGTGACATCCACAATCTAACTTCCACCTGAAGTCAAACACTCATACAAGCAAAGCTTCAGAGTACTTGTCTTTGTATCTGCTTTTGTTGATAATATTGTAAAAAATTAAATTTAACATTCTATTAACGTAGCTTTGAAATTTTAAAAACTCCTTCCTTGGATTGAATGTTAATTGTAGGACATCAGTCCAAAAAATACAGAGCTCTTTTAAAGAGTTAGTACACATATATAGTGAAAAAAATGACACTAAAATGTAAAAAAGGTAAAAACTCAACTTCATTATAAAACTGAAAAATAACCAAATACATCATGTCACAATTCAGAACTGTGGACACATTTTTAGCATGATGTGCCATACGTAATATACCTAAAGCTTTTATTTGTATACCAAACTTTAAATAAGCCATCAGCAACCTGTGCCCCATCAGCAGCACGACGCCCACTCCCTGCAACACAAGCCTACAGCCGCCAGCCCAAGAGAGTCACTGAACGCCTTCAGGGGTGTGTTCCAAGTCTGCCTAGTCCTGGGAAGCTGAAGCTTGTTGAGCAAGTTTCCCTCCAAAGGTGCAGGACTGTTCTCTATGAGCAAATCCACCAACCCCTTGGTATGATAAATGGGAAATTACTGGCACCTGCAATACTTAATATATTTCTGCCTGGTTCTAATCCAAAGAGAAAATCAAAATATGTCATAAAAGGAGCCCAGAAGTATGTTTTGACAAATTAATAATCTCTAGGGGTGTCAATAAAGTTCAATTACTATTATAGCACTCAATTTAATTATGAAACATTTACAATGAATTTGTGGACAAAAGCAAAATAACACATTTTTGAAGCTAAGAAAACCAAATTTTAAAATGCTCTTCATAAATTACTTAAACGCAAAACTAGCTTTAGGATGCAGAGTCAGCCCTCGGTATCTGCAGGGATTGGTTCCAGGACCCACCTGCAAATATCAAAATCTGAAAGATGCTCAAGTCCCTTATGGGAAACGGTGTAGTATTTGCATATAACCTATGCACATCCTCCCATACACATTAAATCATCTCCAGATTACTTATAATACCTAATACAATGCAAATGCTGTGTAAATAGTTGTTATACTGTATTTTTAAGGAAATAATGACAAAGAAAAAATGTCTGTACATGTTCGGTACAGACCCAACTAGTGCAGGTGTTTCGATCTGCAGTTCGTTGAACCTGCGGATGGGGGAGCCGTGGACATGGAGGGCTGACTGTACATTCCAAGCTGTGAAGGCACACGTTTACCTCTTTATACTCCTGGCATCTAGTGCTATCAGTCAAGTTTTACTGATGATTATAGTGACGTGTCAAAAGAAAACATTCCTTTATCCTTAAATTTAAACTCTGGTTATAAAGACTCTCATATCTATAGCTAGTCAAGAACAGAAGATTAAGTTCTAAATGGGAATATTATAAATTCAACTGGTATTAAAAGACAAAAGTTGTAAAACTTGCTTAATTATATCATTAAATAATTGTGTTATTAGAGTTTATTAGTAAGAAATATATCTTGACTAAACTTCCTATTTTAAAGTAAATAATAGGCTAAAGAACAGCATCTTTCAATTACCATCTGACGCCGTTAATTAGAACTCAAAGGGCCTTAAAAAGTAATGTCTCATATTCAATGAGTTTATTCACTTCTAAGAGAGAGCTGCATCAATATATACTACTTTACATTTCTTTAGTGATATTCCGGATTGTGGACCAGGTATAAAGTAAGTATAACAATTAAGATTTATTGATCTAACATGCAAAATACTTTGAGTTGAAGCTTAATTTCTATAGTTTTAAAAGATACATAAGTGTAAAATGGAAGTAATTTGTGATAAACAGCTCTATTTAAGATTAAGATGTAAAATATATAAACGTTACCAAGGCAAGATGAATTAAATTTACATGTGAAAAATGTACACTATTAAGTACACAGATGGATTTTCATTCCTATGTAATTGAAAACTTGGATTTACTAGAAAAAAATATAAGGACAAACTCCCTCTACTGGTAATTGGAGAAAATTCAAATGGAGAGAACTGTATTCTTGCAATCATATTTTTAGTCAGAAAGAAATCTGCTTTCTGTTTGTAAATGAGGAAACTGAAACCTGATGAAGGTCATACATTAATAAAGTTTAAGGGGTTTACAAGCTATTATTGGGTCCAGTCTGGCCTGGTGGTGCAGTGGTTAAGTTCGTACACTCCACTTCAGTGGCCCAGGGTTCATGGGTTCAGATCCTGGGCGCAGACCCAGCACTGCTCGTTAAGCCATGCTATGGCAGCGTCCCACATAAAATAGAGGAAGATGGGCACAGACATTAGCTCAGTGACAATCTTCCTCAAGCAAAAAGAGGAAGATCGGCAACAGATGTTAGCTCAGGGCCAGTCTTCCACACACACACACACACACACACACACACACACACACACAAAAACTACCATTGGAAAATAATTATTTCAAAGGGAGAGAGAAGAACAATATAAAGTTAGAAGGAAACTTTATTTCTGCCAGTCCCCACTCTCTGCCTTAATTTTGACCAGAAAAGCAGCCTCTTAAGAAATAAGTTTTAAGACTGTCAAAGGTGAAGGGTCAGTTTTCTTTCTCTTGCCTGGTCACAAATATATCAAAATGCTTTACCTGGCTACCCTGTCCCCTGCTTCTAGTTTGCACTGATCCTTTTTAAAAATCCATAAAAACATGAACTCACACTCTGCCTATTCAAATAAATGTTCTTCTTTACATAGTTTCTAAGATGTTTTGTGCTATCACGCCTTTTCAAAGAAGATGCAAAAAGTCCAAAATTAGACTCCTATTCTGAAAGTCTACCTTATGCCTGGTAGCTTGAAGGCTACCCGGCTGTTTAGACTACTCTAACTCTGGCATTATCACTATTACTATAACTAGTACCTCTTCTACTATTAGCTACCACTCATTGAGCACTTACTATATACCAGACTAAGCACTTTACTCTATCTCACTTCATCTTCCCAACATTCTGAGGAAGTACTATTACCAGTTAACAGGATATTGGAAAGTTATTTGCCCGAAGTCACAGAGCATAGCAAATGGCAGAATAGACATTTGAAACTAGGAATTATGATTCCAGAACCTACACTGTGTTATTTATAACCGTTATTTTGAAAGAAATAAAAATAATATATTTACTTGAAAAAATGATTCAAACTACCCACTGTGAACATCTCTAGGAAATAGTATAATGAAAGACCATTTTCATCTTAAACTTCATAAATGTATGCACAACTCACTGGTTCACAACCTCAAGTCACTGACCAAATAAGGGACTATTCAAACATAATGATGATTTCTCTCTAAAAAAAAATGCTACATTCAATGTTCATTCAAGAAATGTTCATTCAAGAAATAAGAAGCCTCTTTTGCTGAGTTAAAAAATCAAAAAGGGTCAGTTTCAAGAGAAATGAAAATATGTCCACTTGAAAACCTGTACATGAATGTTCACAGCAGCATCACTCATATACCAAAAAGGTGGAACCACCCAAATGTCCATCAACTGATGAATGGATAAATAAAATGTAGTACATCCATACAACGGAATATTATTTGGCAACAAAAAGGAATAAACTACAGACATATGCTACAACATGATGAACTGTGACATTATGCTGAGTGAGTGAAGTCAGTCACTAATGATTATGATGCTGCATGAGATGTCCAGAATAGGCAAATCTATAGAGAAAGAAAGCAGACTGCCTAGGCTGAGGTGGGGGAAGGAGGAAGGAAGGGAAAATGACTGACTACTAATGGGTAGGGGGTTTCTTGTGGGGTAATTGTGGGATAATAAAAATGTTCTAAAATTAATTGTGGTGATGGTTGCACGACTGTGTGAGTACAGTAAGAATCACTGAAACTGTACACTGTAAACGAGTGCACTCTATGGTGCCATGGTTTGAAAGTCCGTGCCCCTCGAAACTCACGGTTGAAGTCCCAAGGCCCCATGTGAGGGTATCAGGAGGTGGGACCTTTGGCAGGTGCTTAGATTACGAGGGTGGAGCCCCTCCCGAACCGGATCAGTGCTAACAGTAAAAGACCCCACAGAGCTCCCTGGCTCCTTCCACCATCTGAGGATGTGAAAGTCTACACCCCTAAGAGGGCCCTCACCCAACCATGCTGGCACCCTGATCTCAGATATACAGACTCCAGATCTGTGAGAAATCAACTTCTGTTGTTTATAAGTCACGCAGTCTGTGGTATTGTGTGACAGCAGCCTGAAGGGACTAAGACACAGGATCTGTGACTCTATCGCCATAAAGGTGTTGAAAACACAGTCCCTAAAGTCTCTTGAAAAGCTTTTTGGGTCATACTCTAAGGTTTCTATTTAGTCACACTTTAAAGCAACTTTTACTTGAATTTTCCAACTTCGATCCATTTTTTTCTAGAATATTTCACATTCCACATATATTTACCTAAATTATAGCCCAGGAATAAAAATAAGTATTACAATAAAGGATAACAAGGTATAAAAATGGCTCAAAATTCACAGCTGGGCTGGTGGCATAGCAGTTAAGTTCGGACACTCCACTTCAGCAGCCTGGGGTTCACAGGTCTGGATCCCAGGCGTGGACCTACACACTGCTCACCAAGCCATGCTGTGGCGGCATCCCACATACAAAACAGAGGAAGACTGGTGCAGATGTTAGCTCAGGGACAATCTTCCTCACCAAACAAAACAAAACAAAACAAAAAGGCTAAAAATTCAAAGGAAAAATTAGAAAATGATTGTTTCAACTACTAGGTTCTAAACTTTCTTCTAACATCAAAATTTTTGTAATTTAAAACTGCTTAACAGCAAATATTAAGATTTACTAAGAATAAGAGATGCTTTGATATATAACCGTATGACATCCTTAGCATTTTAGTTTTAATATTAGGAACTACAATAATTTACATTCTTCCTACAAAGCAGACCAACTATACTTTTTAATTATTGAATGTGAATATATTTTTATATCACATAAGCCCTTGAGACTTTGGAAAAATATTTAAAATGATACAATATAAAGACAATTATTAAAATTCCTTAGGTCTTCTAACATATTCCTGCAAATTTACCATCTGTACACTTTTTTCCAACTCCTGGGGAATAGCAAATGTAGATGAAGGAGCCTGAGTAAGAGGCCACGCTCCAGCCTAGAAGGAAAAGAGTAAAATAAAAAAGTTAAACAGATAAACATCTAACTTGAAAGTAAATATTAACAAAATGATTTAAGCAACTAAAGCACCTTTTTTCCTTCCTCAACATGTTGATAAAATGCATCAGCATTACTGTTGTGGCACATTCATTCCAAATCAATATAACACGTAGCTTTAGAAGCTATAATCCACTAATTGAAAGAAATGTAATCAGGCATCCATTTATTAATTCTTTGTAGGAGAGCATTTGAAATGATTAGTAAACGCCCAAAATAAAACAGATATTCATACCTGCAGAACATATATTTGAAAACTAATTCCCAAATCTATTACTGTGTCTTGATTTTTGATAAAATTGTTGAACTTATTATTGAGATCAGCACTGACACTCATATCTGTATACATCCGATGTAGCTTGCTGGTAAACTCATAGCCACAAGCTTGCTGTAAAAAAAACGTTTTAAAAAACATAAAATTAAAAAATATATATAATGATTAAAAAGAATGTGTTGTTATTGCCAGGTCTATGGTCAAAGTTCCTATTTGCATGCTCATACGAAAGGCCTGTATTATTCATAACCCAAAGCAGCTACTCAAAACCTTTCAAAAACTCCTTCCTTTCTAAATGTAGATTAAATAAGTAAACGAAAACACAAATTTATGCAACAATAAATTTCCCTTTAAAACAAAAACTTTTTTATAAATCCACATATCTTATTTCAACATACAAAATGCTCCATTACCTTCCGTTCAGATACCTCATAAGGTTTACAGACAGTATCAAATGCACACAAAAGATAACTGGGAACAGTAGATCCAGTAGTCAATTTTAATAAGGAGGATACTTAGGCATATTTTTAATGCCATCTACTGAGTAATGAATAACTGTCATCACCAGGTCAGAAAATTGGGATCTCTAATGTTGGGATATAAAAAGCTTTGTGTAAAATTTCCTTTAAAAATTAAAAGTTATTTTTTGGTATATTTAAAAAGGACCATATATTATAGTCAAAGTCTACTATATACAGGAAAATTATCAACTACTGAATAACTCAGGATAAATATGAATCAGCTACTACTTACAGCATCAGTGTGTAAGCTAAAAAGTTGTAAAAATGAACTGAAAAATCCAACTGCACTCCAAAACTTGTACTCAAAGGAGTATTTTAGGTGTACTCATTAAGTAATACAAGTCTTTTGTACCATTAACACTACTTATCTTGAGGATGATTCTATATCAATACATTGAGAAAGATTTTGTCCTTTTGCATATCCCACCATATGAATATACCGTTACACATTTAACCAGTCACCTTTTGATGCATTATTTCTTGTTACTACATAAAATGCTGCAAGGAACATCTTTATGTGCTAGTAGCATAATTTCTAGGACACTATCAGATCAAAGGCTTACATTACCTTTAATTTATTGATCATAGCTTCTTCAGAATCCATAGACATAGACAACCCGTGAATTAAACGTTTTGCCAGCATCCTTGCGTAGAACTATATTAAAAAAATTTTTTTAAGATTACTTCCTTTCTGGTGATTTAAAGTTCAAAAAGAAATCAAAGCTGACTAAAACACAAAAAAACTTCTCTATTCACAATTTACCTTTTGAAAAACATCCTTATCATCGATATACTTGAAGACAGTAATGAAGCTTGTGAGCTTGTCTTCTACTTCATTCTCAGTCATCCCCTTCGCCGATTTCTTTAGTAAGTTGTCACAGTACTTAGCAAGCTCAAATAGAAATTGATAGTAAATTTTATAAAAGTCCATTCTGCACAAATCATGCCTCAAAGGAGGCAAAGTGGCAACAATACAAAGTAAGATCAATGGACAGGGTCTTTGCCATCCTACAGCTTATGTTTAAAAAATCATGGACATGTACTAAAGAACTTAAAATATATGTCATAAGGTAAATAAAAAACTATAAACAAGTCGAAAATCTAATCAATACATAGTGACCAATAAAGCAACTGATATAAGTAACATAAGTTTCAAAAGAACACCTAGGTGAGATTTGAGAGGTTCTGTAATTTTCTTTCCTTTTTTTTTTGAGGACGATTAGCCCTGAGCTAATATCTGCTGCCAATCTTCCTCTTTTTGCTGAGGAAGACTGGCTCTGAGCTAACATCCATGCCCATCTTCCTCTACTTTATACATGGGATGCCACCACAGCATGGCTAGATAAACAGTGCATAGGCCTGCACCCTGCATCCAAACCAAAGAACCCCAGGCCGCTGAAGTGGGGCACATAAATTTAACTGCTACACCACCAGGCCAGCCCCAAGAGGTTCCACCATTTTTGACATTAAACAAGCACTTTTTAAAAATCTTACAGCAATCTTTTAAGCAAGTTTCCTTTAAAGGTTATCAAAAATTTATCATCAAATTCTCTTTAGATTTCAGATAAACCAAAATCTCCATGAGAAGTAATGCAAATTATTTCAAAGCAGACATACTTTAAAACCTAAACTTTGTAAAATGGAATACTTTTTCCTTCAGTTACTTCCTTCAGCTATGGCCTATTGCATTTCTTAAACAAATGCTAAATTACACATAAAGTAGATAATCATTTTTATTGTTAATAAATTTTATCTATTTTTCTGAAAAGTGCTACAAAAACAAATTAATTTGACATTCTCCTCAGTTTTCATTTTCCAGTACTGATTTTTCATGAGATTACTTTTGAGCAACCATCAAACTTACCAATTCAGGTGCTTTGCAAACCGACTTGGGTTCTCTGTAGTTTACAACTGACGTAAGGGCCTAAATAAAACACAGGCCAGTAATTAGGCACCAGCGACAGGGCAGAAGCACAGCGGGCTCAGTATACGCTATAGTCTGTGCGTCCGAATATTACTCCCCCACAACATATGGTATCTCGGCCACAGCTCGTTAATGCTGTTTCACGTTAACACAGGGTAAGTTCCTCTCTGTCCCTCACGATAACTACATAACACGCATATATCCTGTTCCTACTGAAAGATAGTCTCGGTAACTAATTATTGCTATTTGAACACAGATAAAATAAGACTACATTTTAAAAAATCTTACAACAACCATGGAAGCAAATTTCCTTTAAAGTATACCAAAATTCCAAAGTTTGTAAAATACAGCACTTATCTTTCTTTCTAATGTTATTCAATATAGTAACCTAAGTATTATATTCAAAGGAAAAATCAGTACTAAAGAATATTAAAATTATACATGTATTTTTCAGAAGATACTAGTTTATTAACAATTTCCCTTACAGAGCATATTCATGAGAAATTCAATTCCCATATAACTGAAGCAATCAATTTAACCATTCAGCTATTAATTCAAAAGTTAAGTTATTTCTCTTTTGACTTTCACATTTATATTAGTTAGTTAAGGTTAATCTCCATGTCTAGATCAGAAGTCACATAATTAGAAGTCCTAATTCTGAAACTGCCTGAAGGATAATGATTAAATAAAGAGAATTATACACATAGATATCATACACGTATTAAAAAGTTACCTTATCCAACGCACTCATAAAGTGCTGATCACCATTCAGAACAGTGTTGATAAGTTGAACAAACTTGCCATGTACTTCCAAAACTGATTCCACAAATAGTGTTGGCATCTAAAAATATGAAATACAAAGTACAAAACCACATTTTAAGAAGTTTAAGGATAAAATGAGGCTTTAGTAAGAGTTGTTGAATTAAGAGTCAAGTTTTCCACAAAAAATTCACGTTACACACACACACCCTCAAAAATGTTTTTAGAAAAGAAGACCTGAAAGATCTAGAACTTTGTTGAGATCAGCTTGCCGTTCAGCAGCAGACACACAGGACTGCAGTTCCTCTGCCAGAAGCAGCACCACATACACGCTTCTCCCTGGTGCTGGAGCACCGCATCTTCAGGCTGACAGAGAGTCTCTCAACTACCAGGCCGATCACTTTCATAGAAGATTGCGTAAACAAAAACTGCCTGCCACGCCACTGAAGGCTGAGAGAGAGTTAAAAAGCCAGTATTTGTGAATAAAGACCCCTGGAGCTAAGCAGTACAACTTCCCACATCTCAGAGGGAAGAAATACCTAGCAGTACAAAAGAGGTTTCACTCAATGGAGATAACTATGAAGTTAGTATCTTAACTAAGTCAGCTAAAATCATTTGAGTGTACTAGAGATGCATTCTCTTATATTTCCATCTCTCAGTTCTTGACACCAAACTCTATGCCTCTATGTTCAATGTCATGCAACACCCTAAATCTATAAAATGAATAATCAAACTAACATACCTAATTAATAATACACACTAGTAAACCTGAATAATATAAACTAATAGTATTACAAAAATGGAAACTTATGCATCACTGTGGCAGGACATAAAATTTGTCTTCGGCAAATAATTCTACAAGTAAGGTGATCAGCATCTAATAAATACTCCTGAAAAATAATATCTATACACAAATTACTGCACTGTATATGCAAATAGCTCTACTTAGGAAAGAGAAGTCACACTTCCTGTCATGTCTATCTTATTCGTCCACCATCACTAGTAACAACAAGGAAGGCGGTCCAACAAGATATGATGATAGGAACATACTTTGATAGAAAAGATACTTTGTTGTAAACAGTCATTTGATTGGCAGGGAACTCTTGAGAAAGATGGGTAGTAGGGACTTGAGGGTCACTGTTGGGTATTTTGGGTGGCATGCATATATTTAGGAAAGATTGTGTTAATCTAAATTTGCTTCCTGGGCTACCGAATTCAGAGCATGTAGAAAGAAAGCAAATTCTGAGTTGTCTATAACATCATTGATTAACACCATTACCACTACAACTAAGTATCAATGCCAGTTACATAGAAACACAGTTATCTGGAAACTACGAACATATTTTTCTGTGAGAAGTTAATTAACAATTATTGAATGAACACATCAGTGTGGCTAAGAGGAAGCCTATCTTCTTCAATGATTTCCTAAGAATTTGATAATTCCAAAAGGAATCCAATGAACTCTAGATTTAAAACATTTTCATAAAGATGTTTCATTTGTTGGCATGGTAGGACTTTTCTTTGACCATTTAAAACAGTAAAGTCAAAAGAAAAACTCCACGATAATCTGATTAAGAGAAGAATCGTCCAGTTCCTCAGACAACTCACATTTTCCTGAGTAAGATTACTGGTGGCTCGAAGGCCCTCGTCGTGGATATGGCTTTGCAGCTCCTGAATCATATGAGGTAAACCAGTGGACACAGCGCGCAGTAAGACATACATGTTTGCCATGTCTGAGGGGAAGAAGAAATCTGATTACTAAATTTCCAAGTAAGTCAAAAATTATTTTTAATGTATGAGGTAAAGATGGTTCAAAAGGCAGAATTACAAGAGTATGCAAAGAAAATCCCCCAAACCCGTCCCACCACGCCGTCGTCCTCCCCACAGGAGAGGAGTACTGTGGAGGCTTAATCTTTACAAAGATGCTTCATGCACATTCCAGCAAATACACACATTCTTCCTTCTGCCCCCTTTCTACAAACAGTGCAGCATACTTTATGTATTATTTGCAACTGCAGAACACATCATTTTATCTTGGAGATCTTTTTATACCAGCACAAAAAGTGTTTTCTCCTATTTTACAACTGCATGGCACTCCACTATATGGCTATGTTACAATTACTTAACAAGTGATGGGAATTTGGTTGTTTCCAATCTCTTGATATTATTAATATTACAATTAATAATCCTGTATGTGGGCAAGAATGTCTATAGTATAAATCCCTACAAGTAAGACTGATGTGTCAAAGCTTAACCTTGTAGACAGATCCTTCTAAACAGAGCTCCCAACAGCAGGAGCTCCCTTGCCAACATGTTATCAAATGTTTTGATCTTTGCCACTGAGAGATGAAAACGATGTCTCAGTGTAGTAGTTTTCATTTTAAACTTTTTATTGAAGTATAACACACATACAGAAAAGTGTACAAAGCCAAAGTGTGCATCTCAATGAATTATCACAAGTGAACACAGACACCCACATAATCACCACCCAGGGTAAGAAACAAACATTAGATAGGTCCCTTCACATCTCTTCCCAATCACTACTCCTCTTGCTTTTTTTTTTTTTTTTTGCTCAGGAAGATTAGCCCTGAGCTAACATCTGTGTGCCAATCTTCCTCCACTTTATACACAGGTCGCCACCACAGCATGGCTGACAAGTGCTGTAGGTCTGCACCCAGGATCTGAACCTGCGAAGCCAGGTCATCATGGCTGAGCGCGCTGAACTTAACCACTATGCCACAGGGCCAGCCACTTCTCTTGTTCTTATGCAAAGGTAATCATTCTTTTGACTACTAAACCACAGATTAGTTTTGCCTGTTTTGTACTGTTTATAAAAATAGAGTCATACAATTCTTTCATGTTTGTTTCTTTTGTTCAACATGTTTATAAGGTTCATCTACGTATGTAGGTATGTACGTATATATGTATGTAGCTGTAATTTGTTCATTTTCACTCCTCTATAACATTCCATTGTATGAATATACTGTACTTGATCCATTCTACAGCTATTGGATATTTGAATTGTTTCCAGTTTGGGGCTATTTAACAAATAATTCTACTATGAACATTCTTTTTTTTTTCTTTCTTGTTTATCTCCCCAAATCCCCCCCGTACATAGTCGTATATCTTAGTTGCAGGTCCTTCTAGTTGTGGCATAGGGGACGCCACCTCACCGTGGCCTGACGAGCAGTGCCATGTCCACGTCCAGGATCTGAACCAGTGAAACCCTGGGCCGCCGCAGCGCAGCGCGCGAACTTAACCACTCGGCCACGGGGCCAGCCCCAACTATGAACATTCTTGTACACAACTTTTTGCACATATGTGCATGCCTTTTGGGGGAGGGGTTATATATATCTGGGAGAGAAATGGCTAGATCATAAGATGTGCATATATTCAGCTTATGACAACGTCAGTTTTTCAAAGTGGTCGCATCAGCTTACACTCTCAGCCCAGTGTATAAAAATCCCCACCACTCCACTTGCTTCTCAGCACTCATTATTCTCAGTCTTTTTACTTTTATATCAGAACATGAATATTAATATCTTAGTATGGTTTTAATTTACATTTCCCTACGTTAATAAGATTGAGTGCCTTTTTTTGTTTAGTGATGATCTGGATAGCCTCTACTCTGCAGTGCTGTTCTAATTTCATGACCATTTTACATTTTAGACACACACCTTTTTCAGTCACTGCAAATGTATTACCCTATGCCTGTCTTTTGATGCTCTTTTGATGATCCAACGGTCTTAATGGTCTTTTAATGATCCAAAGATTTTATTTTAATGCAATCCACTTGATCAATCTTTCCTTTGCGGTTAGTACTTTTTGTGTCTTACTTAAAGTATCTTTCCCTACCTCAAGGCCACGAAGTTATTCTCCTCCATTATCTTCTAGAAGTGTTACTGCTTCACATTTAGATCAAAAGCCTACAACGAATTGACAGATTTTGTATATGGTGTCTGAGGGTAAAGATCAAATTTCACGTTTTTTCCAAGTGAATATGCAGTAACTCAGCCCTCTGTGTTGAAAATACTCTTTCACTCACTGCTCTACAGTGCCGCCTTGGTCTTAAATCAACTGTCTACACATGCATGGGTTACTTCTAGGCTCTATTTTATTCCACTGGTCTATTTGTCCATCCTTGCACCGATGCCTCACTGTCTTAATCACTGTGGTTTACATCATGCTATCCCGCAAAGTCTCCCCATCGTGGTAATTCAGACCTCTTAGTCTAAAAGTAAAACTTTCAGAACTAAACAAAAGTCTTCAGCTTTGAGTAGGTTACCCTAGATCCATAAATCAATGCTTCTTTCAATAATGTTTAGCTTTCTGTGTAGGTCTGGCACATATCTTGTTACATTTATTCCCTGCTATTTGAAAATTCTTAATGCTATTTTCTCTTTTTCTAAAAAATTCCATTTTTTCACTGCTTATTGCTAGCATCTCATTGTAGTTTTATTTTATATTTCCCCTATTTTGAGCAAGATTGAGCATCTCCATATATTTAAAATCTATTTATATTTCCTTTTCACATTCTTTGTCATTTTTCTTACTGCTTATTAGAAGCTCTTCATGTATGAAGGAATTAGCCCCTGTGATATATAAAAATGTGCAAACATTTTCCCAGTTTTTCTTTTGACTTTAGAATACACTTTGAAGATAGTTTTCCAAAAGTCTTTTAAAATAGGTTAATAATCTGTAAAAAGGTATATCATATATTTCAGAGACTATTACTAAAATATGCTTAAATCTAAGGTAGCTTGAAGATGACTAAAAAGTGGGTTTAGAATTTAATTTCTGTTCACATTTACGTTTCGTGTCACTTACCGTTTTTCTTCTCTTGTCGGATGATATTGTGGCATTCTGCATGTAAGAACTGTAAGTGGTCTGCCACCATTCGTTGTTGACATTCATGAATCACTTTAGTATATGAACTTGGGTTCAAGTATTTTCGACATCGAATTTCTTCATCTTTTAATCTACCTAGAACCTTTAGAAATACATACATACAGTCATGAACTACTATGAAAAAAGCCCCTGTAATATCAGTAAGTAACTTAGGTAGCCTAATTTTAATGGCTCATTGAAACATAGACGGGTAATAAATAAGGATTACATAACCAATTTAAACCCACATTCCATAAACCAGTTCAAATTTTCCTTTAAGCTCCTAGCTATTATCTGCATTCCACCACAGTCTTATGAATAAGGACTAAAGTTAAGTGGTCTGCATTTTGTCTTCATTTATCAACTGTGATCACCCTATTATATAGACAATCTAACATGCAACAGGAAAAGTGGCTAAACATTATTAAAAACTAGAACAAGTGGTCACTTTATGAATATTTAATTATCAAACTAAAAAAAATTTACAACTAGATCAAGTAGATTAATTTAATTATTTTATGTTGGTTCCTCTTCTTATAAAACGTAAAGGTAAACAGTATGTACATGATAGTTAACTATCACATTAAAGATTTCATTAAAATTTTTGAAAGTCAAAATATATTTAGTCAGAGTCAATATGTCTATCAAGACCTTTATTAAAGCTTATCCTGTAGAAAAAGCACGGAGCTACAAACAATACACTCATAAACATTAATAAGAACCATCTAATAAAAATAATAGCCTGAGAATTTGGCCAATTCCCACTTCAAAACAAAACTACATTAGCAATGAAAATCATGCTAACACAGCACACAGACACACAAATGTTTAGACTATGAAAACATTCTTTAATGTGAAGCTATGTAACTAGTTTCTGAACTTAACTGGTCCCAGGGAACTATGTACATTTAAGCCTTTGAGGAGCACAGCTGAGTTTGCCTGGGCATGAGAAGGGGATGTCGGGAGGGGAAGTGACACTCATTCATGGATACCTCTCAGACATCTTTGGATGACAATGAGGGTCAAGGCTAAGGAGAGACTCCCAGTCCTATCTTTCCTGCTGTGCCACCCTATGGAGCCAGGAGTTCAGAGCAAAGTCACAGAAACCAGAGGTGGGCAAGAAGGTCTCGAGACTAAATGGTGTTCACCATGTATTTCATCAACTTAAGGAGTCATTTTGGTCAACAAGTTTGTCCTTTAAAATAAAAATAGTCCTTAAAAGGATTATGCCATACTATAAATGGCTTTAATCTGTTTATGGATTAACCAAATGTGACAGGAATTAGAGTGTGGGCCTGAGGGAGCTGAGGGAAGATGAGACAAGGAAAAAAATAAGACAATGACAACTGGGGCGGTGGGGGGCTGGGGTGCATATCAAGAGAAAGATAGACAAGATTGGAGTGTCTCAATGCAGGGCTTCAAATACCTATAACACCACTTGTAGCTGGGGGAAAAGGCCAAAACTAGAGGAAAGATTCTGAAAGGAAAGTAAGAAGGCTACATTAGTTAGTCTGCTAATTAAATGAATTACTCTTATAAACACTATTTTCCAAACATAATTTCCAGTGACCCTCTTTTTAACTGTTTGAGATAGAATTTACATACCGTATAATTCATCCATTTAAAGTATACGATTTAATGGGTTTTGTATATTACATTACTAGTGTTTTTTAAATTGTGGTAAAATATACATAACATAAAATTTGCCATTTTAATCATTTTTAAGTGAATAATTCAGTGGCATTAATCACATTCACAATGTTGTGCAACTGTGTATTTCCACAACTTTTTCATCATACCAAACAAAAACTCTGCAACCATTTAGCAATAACTTTCCGCTCTCTCCTCCCAATAATTTCTAATCCACTATATGGTTCTAATCTATTATATGGTGCATCTAAGCAGAACTATACAATATGTTTGCCTACGGCCTCTTTTGAGAGCCAGATATAATGAGGAGTATATGCATCACTGATACTCTGTGTGCACTTTCCAGGACTGGATCCAGAACCTTTAATAAGAGTCTGAGACGCAAAAAGGGCTAAGAGCTAAGAACCAGGGACTTAGCATGACTTGAACTTAATAGACGAAGAGTGTCCCAGATGACTTACTCAAGGTCCCAGAGCTAATTAGTGACAACAGCAGAAAGGGCATTAAACAAGTCAGACTTCTAGACCTGGGCTTTGTGGAGTATTTAACAGTGTGTCAGTAAGTTTTCTTGACCAATGTTCTAGGGGAGGCCATAGTACACCTATTCCACTTACAATGTTTTATCTTGCTTGGCTAAACAAACTAACAAAAATCATCCTATAATAAAACACTTGAAATCCAACACTGCAGATGAAAAAATCTGGTTAAAATTTCTAGTATATCTTGTATGATGACTGAATTTCTACTATGACTATTCTTTTACTGAGAAAATATACATGGAATTTTAAATACGGCAATCAATGTATGTTGGTTTAATAATTAAATCAAAATTTTCTGTGGAAGTTTTTCTCAGACTTCTAAAAACTTAGACCAGACAAGTGACCTAAGTACTACAATTATTATAGTTTTCCTTTCATTTTAAAGGAATGAAGACAAAAACCCAAACACCTAGCTTTTACACTTATCCCAATCCCTATCTAATGAGCACAAAATACAGTTAATGATTCTGCCAGGAATGTGAATGCAGTCAGCCCTTGGTACTCCCAGGGCACTGGGTCCAGGACCCCAGTAGATACTAAAATCCACAGATGCTCAAGTCTCATATAAAGCGGCACGGTATTTGCATGTAACCTATGCACATCCTCCCCTATACTTTAAATCATCTCTAGATTACCTATAACACCTAATACAATGTAAACGCCATGTAAATAGTTGTCATACTGTATTGTTTAGGAAATAATGACAAAAAAAGCCTGTACATGTTCAATACAGACTCAACTACTCTAGGCCTGCGGGTGGCTGAATCTGTGGGTGCGGAATCTGCAGATCCGGAGGGCCAACTACATATATCAATTTTAAAGACAAGCAATGAAGTAATCAAGAATATCAGAAAGCATCAACCATGATGAAAATTGGAATAGCACTTTTTCTCATGGAAAATGCTATACCAAGAACAATGATTTATCAATAGGTGTTGTACATTAACTATAACTCAGAGTAATGATCAAACGAACAGAAACTTTTTCCAACAAAAACATACATTAACTAAGAAAACGGATGTGAAATAAAACCATGCCTGATATATAACAGATGATGCATTTAACATAATTTGTTTTCTCTCTTACCTTTTCCATATACTGTGAACAGTTTGATTCTTGTAATAAATTTGAAGCTTCTTGTTTGTAATACTCTCCTGTTTCAGTCAGAAAGGGAGACTCAAAGATTTCCTGATAAAACTAAATAAATCAATTAAAATCATATTTAAAAAATTAGAACAAGTAATTTAAGAAATTAAAGGTCTGATTATTTATGTTTTTAAAGGAGGCTTTTTACCTTTAAGGGGAATTTTTTCTTATACTGTTCAACATGAACAAAGGAGTTAATAACCCCATGGATTACTTTCTGGTTTGGGTCTTCTCCACCACGATCACTAGAACAAGGTATAACACAAAATATTCTTGAGAATATACATTTCTATGAAAATATGCCAATGTATGCCAAAATTTGCTGCTTAATCTACTGGTCTAAATAAATTATAAAGCATTTTAAAGGTCAATGTATGCATGATGCTTAAAAATAATTTTTATATATCACAGCATAATGTACACACTACATGTCATTTCAATAAATAAAAGCTTTGGTTGTAAAATTAAAGATAGTACGTTGATACTAAGATGATACTTCTTTCATTTCAGATATGAGCCCATCAGTTCAAGGCTTTTAATAGTGGTTAAGAATATTTGAATTTCACTTGCCACAAACTGCATTATTAGAGGATCTGGTTTGAGAAATTGTCTTTGACCCACTCCAGGTATGCCTGTAGAATGTGATGGTATGCACTCCTGAATGGTACACTCTGTATAACGTATCGCTCACTGAAATGACTAACACCTGTTGTTCTCTCTCTAAGAGATTGCTAGAGCTGCTGAGTGGCTTTCCATTCAAGCACAAAAGTATTTATTTATAAATTTAGTGAGATGTGTTTTGGTATTTCTATATTCCTTTACAATCATCTCAATTATTCATTTGACATTTGGTAAGTTCCTACTTACGCACGACTGTGATGCAAGTCTTAATCACGATAAGAAATGGAGGTGAATATTAGCCTTTCTAATTACAGAAATAGGAAAATGAAATAGAAAAAGCAGTTTGTCTAAAGCCACAGGGAAGCACGCCGGCCCTATGCTGGGAGCTTCTGCCTCCTGGACTAAGACTCGAATCAAACCATGACGCAGTCAGAGACTTACCTTCCTACTGGCTACTTCCACCTCACTTTAACATAGCTTTTTCTTTGAATTAATAATTATTTTTACACAGAGAGCACAGAAAATTATTATCATCATTCTCTAATAAAAGCTTCTTGCTCTTTCCTGCAGGATGCAGAGATTTCCTAATGTTTAAGAGAAGTCTTGAGGCCCTTACCTTTCTACATTGACGCCCCTCCCAGCCTCTGCATCCCTCTAACCCCTGCATCCTTCCTTCAATTATCTGCAGATTCTGGGGAAAGGCTTTGTACATGAGTTAACATGGCTACAGCAATTCTTCAGTCACAGAATCTTAGATACAAAGTCCACATTTTGATGTCACTAATGAGAACAATGAGTTCACACAAGGTCACACTCAGCGAGCTCGTTCCCTCTGCTCACCTTCCAATAGTTCCTTGTTAAGCCCAAATTCAATCTGGTGAAATAATGATCTAACCTATCTTATCTATTTGGAACACATCACTTTTTTTCTTTTTAATTTTGCCTAGGACAAAATGAAAATCAATCAAGAATGAAGAATACCTGAATATTTGGGAAATCAGGTTGCCTAAAATTCTTTTCATGACCAAATCCTATTGTCCCTGCTCAGCTCCAGAAAAACTTTCTCTCTTGCTATTCTCAGGCCTCTTGCCGTTTGTTTCTGATTCCAAAAGGCCCAGATAAGCTAGAAACAAGTAAAGTACTGCCTAGAAAAAACACTGATATTCCTAGTACTTAATAACTAAGTTGTCCTCCCTATAAGAATCACATCTGAACTCAAAAACTCTTACGCACAATGATTCAATCTTTAAGATCACATATTTTTATACCTGCACAAAAAGTACTACACAAAATCATTATAAATGTACTGCATTTCTATTAGGCTGACAGATAAGGAAGATAAACTGTGAAACGATGCTAAGTTAGTAATACACAAAAGCAATGCCTAGATTGGTCATCTTAAACTCTGGTCTCCTCTAAGAACAGTGGTCCCAAGAGAGGAGCCCTGAGAAAAGAATATGCAGAACTTTTAGAAATATGGCTTATTATTTGATCTTTAGAGGACTGTGTGGAAAATGCCTACAACAATCATAGTGAAATTACCAAGATAATAAAAGCACTCAGCTGGGACGATGGAAACTAAAAGGAATAGTTCAGCACAGCCCTCAAGACTAGGACTTTGGCATCAGACCGCCTGGGCTTGAGTTCTGGCTGCATGAATATGTTGTCACCTTGGCACATGCTTAACTTCTTAGTACTCAGAGGTTTCCTCTTCTGTAAGGTGGGGATAATAAAAGTACCTACACTTCATGAGGATGTGGTAAAATTAACCATAATCCAAGAAGGCACGTGGCACAGTGCCTGGTACGTAAGTAAACAATCAGCAAACATTAGCTAGTATTTTAAGTACTAATAGGAGCAAAACGGAAGCATTTTCAATATATTAGAGAGGAGAATAAAGCTAGGAGACAAAAAAAGCACTGACTATGATTTTAAAATCAAGGCTTTTAAAGCCAACTAATTGAGCATTTAACTCAGGTAGCAGACCAGGTTTGTGATGGTCATTAGAAGTTAGGCTGGAACTCTCAAAAGTCCTGGTACTGATGTGTGACTGATGTGCAGTGGAACCTTCACTTCCCTCCTATGTTTAAAATGAGAATAGAGTTCTAGTAACCGAAATGCAGCCTCCTGCTCCCACTCTAGATCTGAGAAATGACAGGAAGGGTACTTTTTAATACTTAAATGTTGGCAATAGCCCTTGGTCTTGTAGCAGTTGAAAAAAGATGGAAAGAAGACTAGATAGTGTAGAAAAATAAACCTATGGACCAAAATGCACAAGAGAAAGAACTGCTACAAGGAGAGGGCGGGATGAGAGTGGAGGGAGACAGGCAAGAAGTGGCATACACTGAAAGCTGGATGGCTCACAAAGGTTGATAAAACCAGCTAAGTTATCAGAACAAGCCGCCTCTGAAGCCAGGCAACAAGCAGCAGTTGTGTGCGTGTCCCCACTGGAGCAGTATGAGGGGTGCCTGAGAGGAGGTGGCGCCCCAGGAGGAAGGGTAACCTCTGTACCCAGAAGACTGAAGCAGCACTCACCTGAGAGCGCCTCCTTGGCATCCCCATTCTCACCTGAGAAAGGCACTGGGAAATAAGGAAACGTGTCACCCTCAGATTGGCAAGATTTGATAACATCAAGTATCGGTGAGTGGTAGAGAAACAGGTCTTCTCAGACCCTGCTTGTGGAATAACAGGTACTTCAGAGGGCAAATGGGCAACACTCTAAACGCACACAGTCTGTGACTCCAAACAAGCATCTGCACATGTGCACAACAGAAGCAAGAGCTGCATTAGTGGAAAAACTGGAAACAACCTAATATACATCACGAGGAGAAGAGCTTAATAAAATGGGGTAGAATCATACAAAATGTTATGTAGCAGTTTAAAAAGAATGAAGTAGATCTCTATGTACTAACATAGAAAAACTAGCAAGATATGTAACTGAATTTAAAAAAAAGTTAAGTATCAATATCATTGAGTTTCAAAAGTTAGAAAAATCACATTAAAAAGAAAACAAAACAATATTCTGTATTGTATTTATTTCTGTACATAGACATAATTCATAGGAAAAGGTTTGGAAAAACAGTCAACCAAATGATAACAGGAATTACCTCTGTGAAGAGGAACACTGAAGAAAGGATCTGGAATATTCAGAGTTTTCCTAGAATGTCTTTATGTATCATTTAGAACTAAGTTTTTCACTGAGTAGCTGATTACCAGGTCTGGTAAAGAAAATGCACAAGATAAGTCTGGGAGCTCCTGACATAGTAGACAGCACGAAAGTTATCAAGGAGACTAGGATCATATCAAAAAGGCTCTGGCCCCATATAACCAAAGAGAAGCAATTTACATTTTAATAAAATCAGACAACAAATAGAAACAAAACAAATATATTTAAGTCTATAAATTCATCATGACATATGGTAAAAAGCTAATTGGTCACTTTCTGAGGATGACAGCAAACCAATTCATTATCTTGACAAGTGGGTAAAGAAAAGGAAAGAAACAAGCAGTTATTTTGCCTTTCCTATATGAACTTTACCACTGGGTAAACGATTAGCAGATGAGGGAAACATGTCTTCATAAAATTATTTCAGAAAATAAATGAAAACAAAATGGCAGAATTAAAGTGATGCAGTTTTACAAATTTCAACAAACTAAAAGACGTCAGTATTCAGCATCAGTGGTTGCTTACATCAAAAAAAGAGTGAAAGAACAATTATGAAAGAACAAAACAGCTGGTTTTGCCAGAGGTAACCAACTTGAGTCTAAGTCCTAGGACTGCCAATTTGCAGGAAATACAGACAAAGGGCCATATCTAGCTGTGCCTCATGCAGTGACTGGCAAATCCAGACACTGGAATTCCCATTCCTACAGCATTTACAATTAAGCAAAAGGAGCCTGGTCCCACTCTGTATCTGAAGAGCAGAGGATGCGTGGTCTTTAGGCCAAGAGCTCTTCCTTTGCTCCCCTTACATCACTCCGCGTTGCTGTCTTGTTTTTCTATCTGTGTCCTGTAAGGCCTTCTTTTTGTCCTTCCTGCAGGGATCCCCTGGTTCCACCCAATTAGAACTTTTTCCAAAAGTCATGAAAACCTGAATACGGTTGACTGAGCATTTCAGCATTCTTGATCTGTCACTCAGTGGGACATTTAGATTTCACACAACAAAGATCCTTCTTTAGCCTGACCGATAACTTTACTTCTTTAAAGGTGAGATGGCCCTCAGTATTCTGAAATCTTCACAGAAGGCTGACACATGACCTGGGGATTGGGGAATCTTTATGACCTTATATTTCTCTTACAATAAGAAAAAGAAGGACAATTCTACGTGTGATTATATACAACAACTCCTGGAGATGCAGGTGGTGGTATAGCATACAATGTACCTTCACACAGCCAAAGTTACATCAGGAAGTGCCGTTTTCTCTAAAGGGACTCACCAAATTAATGCATCTACTGATGGGTCTAAGACTACGCAGCCAAAGAGTGAGAAAGTATATTACTTTGGTAAAAAAAAGAAAAATAATAATTACAAAATTAAATGAGGTAGGGATTATCTAACCCAAATTGTAGGAAAAGAGCTATCTTACTAGGATCAGATAACCACCTGTGTGGTGGAGGCAAGCA